ATGTTCTTTGCTAGCATTGAGCTTCATCGGTATTGAGCAGCTTTCCTTTAGTGTCAGGCTTGGGGGATTCTCTCCTCCACCAGTAGCATCAAGGAAGAAACAAGAAAGTTCGTATTTATGGTTTTATTCAGTCATCATGGTGCAAGACAAAGAATCCAGTCCTTAACTCCATTGTGACGTTGCTCACTGTGAGCTCCTCCCCTTCTTTCCCCAGCAACAGCCCATGGCTCTATGGGAGACCTCAAGAATCAATTGTCATTGAGTCCTTTGCTCTTGAATTCTAAGTGAGTGGCAAGTACACGGGGATGGTGGCGCTTCTATGCTTTCTAAGGATGTCTCTGCTGGCACTTCTGCTCCCCTTCCTTCTCCCAACACCTCATAACTTGGCAGCTCTGAGTTCTGTTGTAATGAAATCATGTCTCCCTCTTGAAACTGTCAGCATTTCACTCCTCCATCGCTGGATGTGTGATGGTTATATCACATGCCTGTGTTTACTTTCCAGGCTTGGAAAGTGTGAGAACGGAAGCCGCTCTTATCTCTTCCGCTCCATTGTATGGTTGTACTTTGTCTCTTGGAAAAGAAGCGAGAGGACGTCATGATTTCTTTGTCCTGTATATATTGCTTAATAAATACTTAGAATGCACACACAAACACCCCACTTTGTTTCTGCTAAACTCTGCTGGTTAAGAGTGTGCACATAGTCTTCAAGATGCGTGTCGCTGGTGCACACCAGGACTGATGTTTTTGAGTGTCCAGGGGTCGCGCTTCATCAGGAAGACACCGGAGAGGTTTGTCTCATCCCGGGGGCTGCATGTGACCCCCAGGCGTATTCCGACAGAAACTACTGGAGAAGGGGGGAGATCCCCCCACTCCCCCTCCTCCTCCAAAAGAAGCCGAGGAGTAGGAGGGGGCGATCACCACCTCTCCTCTTCAGTCCCATCCCTGACATTCAGGGAGCTTCACTGGGCAGATTTATATGAGAGTAGGTGCTCCCAAGAACAGGAGCTGGATGATGTCCAGAGTTGGTTGCATTACAGACAATTATATGAGACGTATAAGGAAGATAACAAAAAAAGGTTTAGCTATACAATCTCTAGATTCCAAAAGGAGATTATAGAAGAAAAAGTGAAGTTATTGAAGAAAGCATATAGCATTCTGCTAGAATGGGAAACGAAAGATGAGGAGGTTAAATCATTCATGGTTAAATGGGCACAAGATATAGGACATAACATACAACTTGAGGATTGAGAAAAGCTGTGGAAGGTAGATTTGAAGTTTACAGATTGTTCTCTTTTTGAAAGAAAATTATATGAAAATGATTTATAGATGGTATATTACACCAGTAAAAATGGCAAAAATGTATAAAACTGGGTTGGAAATGTAAAGAAAAAGAAGGTACTTTGTATCATATGTGGTGGGAATGTAGAGAAGTTAAAATTCTCTACAGAGATGGTATACAATGAATTGAAAAAAATGTTCAAACTGACATTTGTAAAAAAAAACCAGAAGCATTTTTGTTAGGGATTTTAGGACAAGATCTGCCAAGAAAAACAAAGAACTTATTTATGTATGCTACAACAGCACAGTGATGGAAGAATGTGGAAGTCCCAACGAAAGAACAATGGCAAGAAAAACTGATGAGTTATGCGGAGATGGCAAAATTAACACATAAACTGCATGAGAAGGACAACCGTGTCTTCAAGGAAGAATGGGAACTATTTAAAAAATAATTTAAAAAGACAACAAAAGGACTTGGACTCCTTGGCAGGTTTTGAATAAATATCCACAATTTTATTAGTAGAACATATGACAGATAAGGTAAGGTACAACTTTACAACATGTAGAGAAAAATATGTATGAACAAATCAGAGAGGGGAGCTGAGGGTAGTCTCTGGAGGGTGGAAGAGGGAGGGAGGGGGAAATGTAATTGGTTATATTTGATTTATAATTTGATTTGCTACATTTACATTATTATTATTATTATTATTATTATTATTATTAGCTGGATGAAGAGCTCCCTAATAGCAGCAGCACCTTTGCAGAACTGCCTAGCACCAACCTCTTCACTGTCTCACCCCTCCTTCACCCAGTCCGCAGCAGCAACACTGCTGCTGAGAGGCTATTTTTATGGTTGGGCCCCACCAGGCAAGCTATTCCTGGATATTTCATCAGGTACCTTGGTTCTCAGCCATTTAAAGGTTAAAATCAGTGTTTTGCATGAACTGGCAGTCAGTGAAGCTTTTTCCAAGTTCATTTGCAATGTTCAATATGTTCCGGTCAACGGCTCTGTAGCTGAATTCTGTACTAGCTGAAGTTTCCGAATAGCCTTCAAAAGAGGCCCCACAAACAGTGCATTACAGCTGGAATTCTAGGTGCTGGTATTCCAGGGGAGCAGAAAAGACTATTTATGTATGCAACAATCGCAGCACGGATGCTATTAGCCCAGAGATAGAAAGAAGATACAGTAAAGTCCCTACCAGAGAAGACTGGCAAATCAAAATGATGGACTATGTCAAAATAGCAAAATTGACCGGAAAGCTCAGGAACCAAGAAGACCAAAACTTTAACAAGGAATGGGGGGAAATATATAATTTACCTTAGAGACCACTGTAAACAAATGAACACATTAGCAGGATTGCAGCAACACTTGTAATGTAATGGGTATTATGGAGATAATGAAGTTTTTTGTTAAATAGAATATGGAGTAGAGAAAAACATGCAGTAGAAAAGATTGAATAACAGAACCCATGGAAGTCCAGAAATTCGGAGAAATCTCTTAATTGTGGATATGTGTTATGTTATTTTTATAATTTTATACTTGTAAAATAAAATAAAAATTATGTTAAATGAAAACAATGCAGTACAGCTGCCTAAACTGATGGGGTCCAGATTAGCTAATGTGGAAGATAACGGTGTAATAATTAAATTACTGAAATGAAAAATGGCTCTGTCAATCCTTGATAAATTAGGCTGTGATTCTATATAAAGTGTGGGAAGCCAGTGCCATAAACATCTGCGGTCTTACTTTTGATTGAACATTCATAGAATTGTGCTTTTATTATGATATTATTATGTGGCTCAGCTTATGATAAGGCACAAATGGGGATAAGGCAGAATCTGAGTTCACCTGGAGCTAGCTGTATCAATATCTCTTAAGCAGAATTTTTAAATACTAATAATAATTGTAACACTTCCCGTGTAATTTTCAGATAAGGAGCACTGATTAGTATAGTTTAAGAGCAAAATTAATTCACCCAATAATAGAAGAAAAGCAAATACCTGGCTTGGAATAAAATTACGATGGAATAAGGACTAGCCAGCAAGTAATGACCGCTCCCCGCATAAAAACGGGGGGCGCCCTTTGCGTGGACGCACGCAGCCCCTGGATCTGGAGTGGCTCCATCAGCATAGGATTGGCTTCGCCTTCCCTCAGGTGGGATAACTGGAGGTCTCCGCCTACCCCAGTCAGTTGTCCAATCCCGCCTGGGGGAAGCGTTGCCAAGGAGACCAGGCCAGGTAGGGGAGGGACTACCTGCCCACACAATAGAGGGAGGATCTTACCTGGGAATCCTCACTCTGCTCCAGAGCTTCTTCCACCCTACCCACCCTCAGTTAATGTCTTATTTTGCAGGTTAACTTTTCTTCACAGGTTTTGCAGGTTAACTTTTCTTCACAGGTATGCGGGCGCTGCTACGATAAGGTCGCTGTTAAAGGGCCGGAAAGGAATTTCCCTGCATTGGCAGGTTTCGCCTTTCCCGTAGCAAAACGTCACAACTTTGGCGGTATCAGGCCTTGGGCGGAATCCTTTTGTCCACCTTCCTCTTTGCAGCGGCGATACCAGGGTTCCCCGTTAAAGGGGTTTCTGAAGGGAGGCTTTGACCGTACGCCGAAAGGTCATCATTGCTCTCCCCTGCGGCGGCGGCGTAACGGGGGCGGCTATCTCTGCTTGAACATATATTCTCCAGAGCCGGCCCATCCCCCCTCACACACACACTGGATAACCCTGATGCTCCCTAGGTCCCCGGCTGGGGACTGGGGAGGGAGAACGCCCAATGCCTAAGCCAAGGTCTACCCACATTTGAAATTTAATAAAGTTGTGGCCAATTTAATCCCATAGCACGTTGTCTTGAGTCGTTATTCCACATGACAGGGGGTGACCGCTCAGGATCTGGGGGACTCCGCCTGTCCACGCAAAGCTTCCTTACCTGTTGTACCTTTGAAAGGCAACATTGCTTGCACCTGGAAATTGGATTGAATTTGCATTTAAAAGTGAGTCTACATAAGCATTTTATTAGGTAAAATGTAAATATTGAGAAAGCGTACTTTGCAAAAAATAAATAAATGGATATGCTCAACAAAATTACACACTGAAATATGTATTTTAGGATAAATGTGCATTAAAATGCTGATAATTTTCCATGAGGACTTCTTTTAAAAAAATAAATTTTCAACCTGATGTGGAAATGTGGAAAACCCTATAGACCCTCTTGGGTGTTAAGGTCAGCCGAGAGGGTCCTCTTGTTGGTTCCACCATCCTCAGATGTTCAGGGGTGGTGGTGGCCTGGAAGAGAAAATTCCCCTTGGCCGGTCCTAGGTTGCGGAACTCCCTCCACACAGAGGTGAATCTGGCACCTTCACTGAACCATCCTATTCCTATGACTGTAATTTGTTATAACTGTTTTTAATAATGAATTTTAAATATTTGCAGCTCACCCTAGGACCTGATGATTGAAGGGCAAGTAATAAATTGAAATCATTTTTAAAAATAAAAAGAGAATACAATCCTACTCTTCCTTGGAATTAACTCCTTCTCTGAGCCGATCTCTTTCGTAAAGTTCAGTAATGGGCTTGCTGAGGCTCAAGAAACTTATTATTATTGTTATTATTTATTAAATTTGTATACTGTGCTTCTTCTGAATATCACAGGATGGTTCACAACATAACAATACAAAATGATAACACAAAATACATAATAAAATGAAAACAAACACAAACTAATAGCCCCCTCCCACAAACACATTTTAAAGGCCATAGAATGATTCCTGTATTTATTTTGTTGGTTGTAAGTGTTTAGTCAAAACCTGCTAGTAAGTCCATGTCTTTACATTGTTTCTGTATGTATAACATAAATGGTTCCCAGTCCTCCTTAAAATCTCTATTATCTTTTTTGCAAAATCTTGCAGTTAACTTTGCCATTTCAGCGTATTCCATCAGTTTTCCTTGCCATTTTTCTTTAGTTGTTATTTCCTCAGTTTTCCATCTTTGGGCTAGTAATATCCTAGTTGCCATTGCAGCATACATAAAAAGTTCTTTTCTTTTCTTTTGGCAAATCTTGACCTGAAATGCCTAATAAAAAAAGCTTCTGATCTTTTCACAAAAGTTATCTTAAACATTCTTTTCATTTCATTATATATCATTTCCCAATAGTTTTTAATTATTATACAATTCCACCACATATGAAAAAAAGTGCCTTCTTTTTCTTTGCACTGCCAACATTTGTTGGAGCCTAAAGGCCATAGAATGTTAATCAGCCAAAGGCTTGGTTATGGAGAAATGTTTTTGCCTGGTGCCTAAAGATATATAATGAAGGTGCCAGGTGAGACTCCCTCAGTAGGTAAAGGTAAAGAGTATAGGGACCCCTGACCATTAGATCCAGTCGTGACCGACTCTGGGGTTGCAGCGCTCATCTCGCTTTATTGGCCGAGAGAGCCGGCGTACAGCTTCTGGGTCGTGTGGCCAGCATGACTAAGCCGCTTCTGGCAAAGCAGAGCAGCACACGGAAACACTCTTTACCTTCCCGCCGCAGCGGTACCTATTTATTTACTTGCACTTTGACGTGCTTTCGAACTGCTAGGTTGGCAGGAGCTGGGACAGAGCAACGGGAGCTCACCCCATCGCGGGGATTCGAACCGATGACCTTCTGATCGGCAAGCCCTAGGCTCTTCCACAAATGGGGCGCCACCACAGAAAAGGCCAATTCTCATGCAACCAACCTCCAGAACTCTCATGGAGGAAGCACATGAAGAAACGGCTCAGATGATGAATGCAAAGTCCGACTGAATCCTGACAAGAAGGAGGTGTAGTTGAAGGTAGTTCTTATATCCAGGAACAGATGTACAGCCTGTTCTATGTCCTTAGGAGTCAGAGGCGGAGAGAGAAATGGAAAGAAACTGATATTGACAGAACAACCTATCCATACTTGCACCTATAGAAGACTATTCATTATGTCTACGTTGTGTTGCTCTGGTAAAAATACATTAACTTCCTTCCCTGCAAAAAAGAAAACCTTTTTCAATTGAGAGAGTAATATAAGTTGAAATGTTCACATTAAACACTAGGAAAAATAATCCCACCATTCAAGATAATAATAAAAAGTTGTCACGTAGCAAATTACTCTTGGCTACCGCTTAATTTTCCACAACATTCAAAAATGAAAGGGTGATTAATACCAAGCCTTCAGATTGCCCTTCTTCTATTATCCACATTCAGCCACAATTATGGCAATAAGGAGACAAGGCAAGAAAAAATAAATTACAGCTATTGAAAAACTGAACTGCATGTGGCACAAAATAACCACAAGATAACAATCTTGGAGCAGAGCGATGGGTCTCGTATAGAGTTAAGCTGGAATTGAGACATGTAAAATTATCTGAATTAAAAGTAGCAACGCCAACATTTTCTCGTGAATCGTGCAGGCAAAGTAGTAACATCTGTGGAAGGGCTGGGGGGGGGAGCTGTGGCCTTCCAGATATTACTGGACCTTCATTTCCCTGCCCTCTGGTGGTGTTGGCGACGAGGGCTGGGATGGCGTTACAGGTTCTATTCATCCTCTACACCTTGCCCCCTGACACACATGGCTACATGCCCCAGGTGCCAGCAAACCATATTACACCACTGGCCAGGTCCATTCTCTCCACCCCCCCAACTTTTTTTATTCAAAATTAAAACAAAACATATTATCCAAAAACATATCATCCTTCTCCCCCACCCCATTTTTCCTCCCTCCCCCCCCCACAAAACCCACCCACCCACCCCCCAGCTTCCCTCAGTTCCAGACTTTGATTTCTCTGAGAATGCTGTTTTCTGCATGTTACAAAGTTGTATAGATCCTCAAACTATTTAGCTGATTATTATCAATAAAAAGTTTGTGAATATTTATTCAAAACCAGCCAAGGAGTCCAGTTCGCTTTGTTGCATCTTCAGATACTTTCTAAAGGGTTTCCATTCATCTTTAAAGTCACAGTTATCCTTGTCCCGTACCTTATATGTCAGTTTTGCCAGTTCTGCATAGTCCATCAATTTTTCTTGCCATGATTCTTTAGTTGGGGTTTCTTCAGTCTTCCATCCTTGTGCTACCAAAACTCTCACGGCCGTTGTCGCATACATGAAGATGTTTTTCAGCTTTTTTGGCAGATCTTTCCCTACAATCCCCAACAAAAATGCTTCAGGTTTTTAAACAAATGTTAAATGGGACATTTTCTTCAATTTGTTGTATATCATTTCCCAAATTTTTTAAATTACATTACATTCCCACCACATATGATAAAATGTCCCCTCCTTTTCCTTACACTTGAAACATATATTTGAACTAGTTTTGTTCATTTTCCCTAACTGCACTGGTGTTGTGTACCATCTATACATCATCTTCATGTAATTCTCCTTCAATAGGGAACAATCTGTAAATTTTAAATCAGTTTTCCATAATTTTTCCCAATCTTCCATCATAATGTTGTGACCTACATCTTGGGCCCATTTAATCATAACTAATTTTACCTCTTCATCTTTCGTCTCCCATTCTAATAGTATTCTGTATGCAGCCTTTTCCAGGTCCATTCTCATGGCAAGAAGAGGGGCAGGGGTGGCTGGGCTACTTGCAGCTGCAGCTGCTTCCTTGTAAGGAGCAATATCTGTGAAGCACCTAAATCAATAAAATGTTGATGCTGACCTTTAAAGCCCTAAACTGCCTCGGCTCGGTATACCTGAAGGAGCGTCTCCACCCCCGTTGTTCAGCCCAGACACTGAGGTCCAGCTCCGAGGGCCTTCTGGTGGTTCCCTCACTGCAAAAGTGAAGTTACAGGGAACCAGGCAGAGGGCCTTCTCGGTAGTGGCGCCTGCCCTGTGGAACGCCTTCCCATCAGATGTCAAGGAAATAAACAACTATCTGACTTTTAGACGACATCTGAAGGCAGCCCTGTTTAGGGAAATTTTTAATGTTTGATGTTTGATCGTGTTTTTAATAGTCTGTTGGGAGCCACCCAGAGTGGCTGGGGAAACCCAGCCAGATGGGCGGGGAATGAATGAATGAATAATTAAATGAGGTGTGCCTGAACTTGTGCTCCATAATGATCACCCAGAAAAGAAATACATCATGATGTATGAACAGTGAACTTCTATTTTTTTTTTAAAGAATATTTATTCCAATTTTAGAATTACATAGAAAGAAAAAAGCAAAAAAAGAAAAACAGATCACATACACCCTACAAGAAAAAGAAAACAACACACGATACAGAAAAAAATACAAAAGACAAAAAATCACAATACAAAAATAACAAAAAATCAAATTAAACCATTAAGATCATTTTCCCATTTACTTATTTCCAAGACTTCCTCTCACTTCTCTGCTTTGTATTCTAATTTAAATCGTATCTCCAGCAAACCCTTCTAACCTTCTTTTCATTTACTTAATTTAACATTCAAAAATATTTAGTTCTCCTCTATTTTTTATTTTACACTACATATTTACTTGTTCCATTATACTCTGTCTGCCAATACGGTCTAATGTTCTTCTCCAGCCTTTTCTAACATTCTTTTATATTACAGTATTTCTGAAGATATGTTTTAAATTTTTTCCAATCTTCTTCCATCGACCCTTCTTCTTGATCTCGTATTCTGCCGGTCATCTCAGCCAGTTCCATATAGTCTATCACTTTTCTCTGCCATTCTTCTCGGGTAGGCAATTCTTGTGTCTTCCAGTATTTCCCAATGAGTATTCTTGCCGCTGCTGTCGCATACATAAAGAAATTCCTATCTTCCCTTCGCACCAATTGGCCAACCATGCCCAAGAGGAAGGCCTCTGGTTTCTTCAAGAAAGTATATTTCAATACCTTTTTTAGTTCATTATATATCATTTCCCAGAAGGCCTTGATCTTTGGGCACGTCCACCAAAGGTGGAAAAAAGTACCTTCATTTTCTTTACATTTCCAACATTTATTATCAGGCAGATGATAGATTTTTGCTAGCTTGACTGGGGTTAAGTACCACCTGTATATCATTTTCATTATGTTTTCTCTTAAGGTGTTACAGGCCATAAATTTCATACCTGTGGTCCATAACCGTTCCCAGTCAGCAAACATAATATTATGCCCCACATCTTGCGCCCATTTAATCATAGCAGATTTAACCATTTCATCCTGTGTATTCCATTTCAACAGCAGATTATACATTCTTGACAAATTTTTAGTTTTAGGTTCTAACAATTCCGTTTCCAGTTTAGATTTTTCCTCCTGGAAACCTATCTTTTTATCTAAATTAAAAACCTCCCTTATTTGATAATAATGCACCCAATCTCGAACTTTAGTTTTTAATTTGTCGAAGCTCTGCAATTTTAATTTATCTCCGGCTTGTTCTAAAATTTCGCAATATTTTGGCCAATTTGTCTCCATGTTTGTTTTTTTCAAAGCCTTAGCCTCCATTGGTGACAGCCACCTTGGTGTTTTACTTTCCAACAAATCCTTATATCTCACCCAAACATTGAATAATGCTTTCCTGACAATATGATTCTTGAAGGCCTTATGCGCTTTAACTTTGTCATACCATAGATATGCATGCCACCCAAACACATTATCGAAACCTTCTAAATCTAAAATGTCCACATTTTCAAGAAGTAGCCAATCTTTCAGCCAACAAAAAGCGGCTGATTCATAGTAAAGTTTAAGATCTGGCAGGGCAAATCCCCCTCTTTCTGAACAGTGAACTTCTAAGCAACCCCTATACATCTAGGGTTAGAGCTAATGGTTGCCAAATCAAAAACTCTAGCATCAAAGTAGACTTGAACAATGGGAAACTCTGTTTTAGAAATTGACCACATTAAATGATACCCATCCATTCTCTCCAGTCTGCAACACCTTGGCTAGAGTTATGCATGCCTGATCTCTGAATCAGAGTGAGCGCTAAGAAACTGCCTTTACTTTGTTAAATGAAACCATGATCAAAATTAACACTGGAAATTTTGAAATATGCTAGTGGCGTGTGAGACAAACACACACACACAACCACAGCTGTAGCAGGTGGCATGGTGGCATGGTGGCACTCACCGGACCTCTCGGCAGCTGAGTCACCACTGATTAATGGGTGGGAGAGATTGAGCGGTGAGCCAGTGGGGAGGGTGCTGCAGTGCGAACCCACTGGCAGGACTAAACTAACATCCTGCCAGTGCATATGCACCGCACAGAACTCCTGACCACCTTGACCATTCTCCTCTCTTTCTGGTAAGCAGAAAAATCTCAGCTGTTAGGCTGTCAGGTGAGTGCCACTGTCCCATCATGCCCCCCACTACTGATACACACAGAAAAGAGGCAGGGGAAGACTAGTACCATGTCTTGATGCCTGCCCATTCTGGTTCCCCATGCAATTTGAACCCTGATTGCCTCAAAGCTTTTGCTCATATGAAGAAGCCAGGTGTACACTGGCCCTTTGGCGCTAGTGCCTGAGAACATGGATGGAAGTTGTTGGATGGCAGCAAGACTCATGGGCATTGTCCCACTTCCTCTGCCATGCTTTCTGACATGTCACAGGCCTGAAATCAATCTGTAACATTACAGCCACACTTAGTGCCAAAGTACAGTGGTACCTTGGTTCTCAAACGCCTTGGTTCCCAAACACTGAAAACCCAGAAGTAAGTGTTCCCATTTTCAAATGTTTTTCGAAAGCCAAACATCCAATGCGGCTGTCGGCTATTGTTTCCGGGGTGCCTGCACCAATCAGAAGCCGCACCTTGGTTTTCGAATATTTCGGAAGTCAAACAGACTTCCGGAACAGATTACGTTCGAGAACCAAGGTACCACTGTATTTGGCGCTTTTGGTTTTGCTATTTATTTTGTGTTTTTGTTTTTGAGGCTTTTTCGGTTAATTTGTTTTTGTGGGTGTGTGGAATCCAGTTCAGCTGATTGATTGATTGTGTGACTGTGGAAATGGATAAAAGTCCCCCCTCCAAACAATGATGATCATCAGATGAAGTAAGATTTTTTTTTAAAAAAAACTACAATACTGTGTTATTTATTTTATATTACAGTACATTGATTATTGCTTTCATTTTATGGATCAATGGTCTCATTAGAGTGTAAAATTCATGTTAAATTGCTGTTTTAGGGGTTGTTTTTAAAAGTCTGGAACGGATTAATCCATTTTGCATTACTTTCTATGGGAAAGTGTGCCTTGGTTTTGGAACGGAATTCTGGAATGGATTATGTTTGAGAACCAAGGTACCACTGTACATGTATGAAAGCACCCACTACTAACATTAGCAACCTGTCCAATGCCCTGAAGTCCTCTGCACATCTTAGTCAAAGCTTAATGTAGCATACAGACATTTGGGGAGCTGTCAGGCCTACTCACAGATTCTGTTAAATCCCAGCTCCAATTCACCTGGAACTCCACCTCTGAAATTAATTGTCAGGGACTGGACTGAGGAGGAATGGTGAGGGCCATCCCCTGCTTCTCCTGAACCTTCCCGAGGACAGGAGGACATCATAGATTTAGAACAGTGGTTTGCAGAAGGGCATAGTTCAGAAGCTGCAGAGGGGAGAACCTGGGAAATATTGGAAGAGGAACAGCAGGAAGAAGAAGCACCAGGAGAGAGACAGCTGACAGACTCGGTGTCTTTGGAAACCATTCCTGACCCCGCCTCCCAAAACTAGGCGGGCATTGAGGGTGGTAGAACAGAAAGCTCAGCGACAGAAAGCTCAGATTAGCTGATGTAGGGGTGACATGGATTAGTAGAGATGGAGGGGTGGGACTTTGCTTGGAGCAACACAGTTTCTAGAGAGAGACGCATTCCTTTGTCTCTCGCTGTGATTATTGAATAAACTAATTGGTGGTAAGAGACACGGGTGGCTCTGTAGGTTAAACCACAGAGCCTAGGACTTGCCGATCAGAAGGTCGCCGGTTCGAATCCCCATGACGGGGTGAGCTCCCATTGCTCGGTCCCTGCTCCTGCCCACCTAGCAGTTCAAAAGCACATCAAAGTGCAAGTAGATAAATAGGTACCACTCCAGCGGGAAGGTAAACACCGTTTCCGTGTGCTGCTCTGGTTCGCCAGAAGTGTCTTAGTCATGCTGGCCACATGACCCGGAAGCTGTACGCCGGCTCCCTTGGCCAATAAAGTGAGATGAGCGCCGCAATCCCAGAGTCAGTTACGACTGGACCGAATTGTCTGGGGTCCCTTTACCTTTTAAATGGTAAGAACTTTCCTTTTCTTTTATCTGCATCTTTTATTGCCACCAGGGGAGGGGTCTGATTCCCCAAGATTGACATTAATCCACATTCATTAGGAGCATGTGGCTCAAAATAGGATATAGTTTGGCTGTTTTCTATGGCACAAAACATAACAAAGATTGAGAAGACTGACATAGGAACATAGAAACACAGAAACTAGGCGCATTTTCTAGTCCTACCTGTAGACACGAGAGACCCTTGGCATGCAACATAGATACTCTACCTTTGAGCTATGGTCCATATAGAAGTTACACACATAGATGAAGCATAACTGTTTCATGTATAGTTTAGCACTGAGAAATTTCAAAGTCTTGTGTGATAGCAGAAGTCATTCCATAGCAAATTTCCACTCTCAGGGTGGTAGCAAATGTGCACACAACCTGTTCTTGAGACGGAGCAGAGTCTTGTTGGAAAATCAACATGCTGATTTGATTCAATGAAAGAAAATAAATAAATAGCACCCCCCACACACACACACTTGTTAACAATCAGGCTCAATAGTGAACCCAAAAGGGAACATATCACGATGTATAAACTGTGAACTCTTTTTTTAAAATATGTTTTTAATTAAAAATGTCACTTACGAGATGCCAGCTGGTGAATATTGTTTTGCTGATGTATGACATCCTCTCTGACACCCACAGCATGGTACCTCCTTGCCAAACTGTATGCCAGGCTCCCATAATGCCAATCGCTCAAATGTTGACATTTCCGAAAAATGGTGGACACTAACAGGAGGCTTGGAAAAGCTGTTTAACTTTACAGTTTCCAACAGAAAATAGTGTTCTGCACCATGGGAGCCTATGCTGTAACTGTGCTGAAAGACAAATAAAATTCATCTCTATTATACCTTTTAAATGCTATTTTACTAATTTGGAATGCTGTGTAGCCCTTGGCAGATATTCTGTATGGGTACATTCCAGACAGACTCCAGGATGGTGGGGTTCATTGGCAGTGTATGATCTGATGAATCCCAAGCAGCCGTGACTGTGGTCAGCATTGTGTTTCCCCCCAAATATGGTGCTCCAGAAGTTCAATTGTCCCATGGCATTGTGGGTAAAAACAACAACACACATGACAAAGCATGATGGCTGTTATGTTTTGAAGTCAGCACCAGGTTTTGTTTTGTTTTGTTTACCCACAATGTAATGGATTGACAAAATATCCAGGGTATTGCATTTTGGAAAAACTAAGATGTTGGCCACAGCTGTGTTTACTGGGAACCCAGAACAATCACCCTGGAAGAGACCATCATTGGCAGTGGATCCTGGCAGACCTGACACCAAGAGCCCCGATACTCATCGTGACCCCTCCCAGGCCCAGCCTGCTACCCACTCACTCATTGCAGGCACTGGCGGGGGAATGGGGGTGGGGTGGGGGGAGCGTACCCCCCCAGCACCATTGGGGAGGGGAGTACCATCGTGGCTGCCCCCCGGACATGCACTGTGCACCTCCTGCTGCGTGACGCATGCCACGCCCCCACAGACAGCATGCCATGCCCCGGGACGCACGCCATGCCCCCGCAGGTGACATGCCATGCCCCGGGACGCACGCCAGCTATGCTCCCGCCTGCTCTCCGCCCCTGGTGCCAGAGCATGCAACTTCACCACCAATCGCAGGGTCCGGTTCCCATCGGCAGCTGCTGGCTAGCCATTCACCTCCACCTTCCAGCTTCCTACATCCTGTGGGCTCTGAGACAGGGCCAAGGAGATGCTTATTCTCAGAGAATAATTTTGGGTGAGGAGGCCAGGCATTGACATGCACTGCTATGGATTTCCACAGCAGTGAGAAAGGCTTTTAAAACTTCTAAATCCTAATTTAGAATTCTAAACCCTAAATTAGAATTTAGGTTTAAGCAGTGTTATTTTTCTAGAAAAAGAGGTGCCGGATCTCACCATGAACACCTTCCTTGTTCTCTTATAATGGCAATGGCGCCCACCAGAGAGGTGCCAGAACTGAGTTCTGCTGAGTTCTAGCTAAGGAAAAAAGAAAAAGCCCTGGGTTTAAGAATGTGGATCAAATCCTCTGTCATAACACATGTCTTGTTTTCTAGTACAAGTAAAATGTAATTTGATGGTAAAATCCCTTTGCTGACATACTTGTAGACTTGGGTCCATCAGCTTATAGCAATTTCATCTAAGTTATCGCAGGCTAAGTAATAGGTATAGACAATGCTATTCTTCTTCGAGGGAGGGAGAAAGGTGTGGGCACTGCATACCTTTGAGTACCCCCAGAAAAACGCGGGTAGCTCTGTGGTCTAAACCACAGAACCTAGGGCTTGCCGATCAGAAGGTTGGCGGTTCGAATCCCCATGACAGGGTGAGCTCCCATTGCTCAGTCCCAGCTCCTGCCAACCTAGCAGTTTGAAAGCACATCAAGTGCAATTAGATAAATAGGTACTGCTCCGGTGGGAAGGTCAATGGCGTTTCCATGCGCTGCTCTGGTTCGCCAGAAGCGGCTTAGTCATGCTTTCCACATGATCCAGAAGCTGTACGCTGGCTCCCTTGGCCGATAAAGCGAGATGAGCGCCGCAACCCCAGAGTAGTCCGTGACTGGACTTAATGGTCAGGGGTCCCTTTACCTTTATCTTTATAGAAATGGCTTGGGGAGGGAAAAATGTAAAGTAACAAACATGTGCGTTTTTCCCAATGTGCCACATACTATAGAAGCATAGTTAAGGATCTGAACTATAGAGTGGACAGTTTTCACTGCACACATGGTCCCCCAAACTTTGAAAGCGGATTCTAGTTATGAAGACGCTATCCAGAAACTGCAAGAGAGGTTGGTCAGTGAATTAGCTGCTATGGTTCTGCCCTTCCATCTAGCCTCAATCCCTTTTGAGGAGATTTGGAGCATTTGGTCTCCATGCAGCTCATTAAGTTTCCTTCAGCTTCTCTCTCTATTGAACTCCTTTTCAAATCCCTGATGGCCGAGATGGCACCGTTTTGTTGCATCTACCCCCAATTAATCTGACGCCTCCTTTTTTCTATCTTTTTCAGGGGTCTGCCCTCACTAGCCCACGGGGTCTGCAAAAGGTCTTCACCCTGTTACAAGCCTTTAACCAGCTTGCCAATAGGAATAAATGAATCTGACAAGATGTTGAGGTTGCATTGCTAAATGGGGGAGAACGGGAGCCGTTTGTGAAAAAGGATCTCTGCAAAAACAGACCAGAGGCTTGCTGAGAAACAAAGACTCGTGGATTTTATCAGACTTGACACCCGCAAAACAATTTAATTAACTCTCTTGTATATAAATAGTACATGGGTTAGCCAACATGGAGCACACCAGATGTTAGGTAAAAGGAAAGGGTAAAGGGACCCCTGACAGTTACGTCCAGTCGCGAATGACTCTGGGGTTACGGCGCTCATCTCGCTTTACAGGCTGAGGGAGATGCCGTTTGTCTGCTCCGCAGACAGTTTTTCTGGGTCATGTGGCCAGCATGACTAAGCCGCTTCAGGTGCAATGGAACACCGGCACCAGACCAGCACATGGAAACGCCATTTACCTTCCAGCCGGAGTGGTACCTATTTATCTACTTGCGCTTTGACATGCTTTCCAAATGCTAGGTTGGCAGGAACAGGGACCAAGCAACAGGAGCTCACCCTGTCGTGGGGATTCGAACCACTGACCTTTCAATCGGCAAGCCCAAGGCTCAGCGGTTTAGACCACAGCGCCACCCACATCCCTACTCCAGATGTTAGTAGACTACAATTCCCATCATCCCTGAACCTTGCCCTTGCTGGTTGAGGAAGATGGGAATGGAATTACAGCATCTAGAAGGCATCTTGTTGGTTACCAATTGTATAGTGCAGGCAAGTCCAATGCATAAGAGGTTGTGATCTACTCCCAGTATAAAATAACTGGCAGTGATCTACACATTGTCATTGGAGGGAGGAGGCGCATATGGGAAGAGGAAGAGGAAGGCATGCTTGGCAAACCCTCACTATGATCAACTCCCTCCTGGAAACCTATGTCCCCACTGCGGAAGGACGTGTGGATCCAGAATTGGCCTCCACAGTCACTTAAAACCGTGCTTATGGAAGACAATCTTACTCGGCTACGAGTGATCGCCAAAGAAGAACAGACAATGTCATTTTCAGAATTTAGTTCATGGAGAAGGCAGCAGCACTGTCTGTATCTAGTCGAGGATGCTGGTGAATAAGAGGTCAGCCGCCAGCTGCACTGTTAACTCTGGAAACTGGCACTCTAAACAGCAAAGCACAAAGATCATCAATTCAACACAGTGTTATAATACTGAGCTCAGCATTTTGCTTCATCAACAGCTCCCCTCCCCGGCACAGCACCTTTTTTTCTCTTCTGGTTTATGACTGAATTCTAGTACATGAACAACCCATTAAGCTCCAACACCTGCAGTGCCTTTATCTGAAGAATACTTCATCATGTAATACGCCGCATGTATAATAGCATTGTGGTGGCACTAAAGGAAAGAATAGTGCCGGTGAATTTATTTAAGGTCGGGAAAGCAAAGTGGCTGGGCTGTGTGATTTCCGCACCCTTGACTACAACCTTAGAAATCAATCAGCATTTCTACTCTTTATGCAAATTTTTATTAATCACGAGTAGGACGAGGGACCACCCTTACACTGCGTGCAACTTGCAATACAGTGTTGTCTTGCTGTAGGAAGACGGCGTAATATCATAGCTAAGAGCAATGAGCAAGGAAACCTCCCGTTCAAGCTTCTCCTCTGGAATGGACTTGTTTGGTGGTTATAGGAAAGCCTCTCACTTCATCCCCCTCCCATTTACCTGCCTTACAGGGTTGTTGTTACTGACAGGGCCGTCTTACCCATAGGTGCTAGGGGTGCAGGGCACCTGGGCACTGGGCTCACAGGGGCGCCAGGTCGAGAGTCCGGGGTTGAGATTTGGAGTCCAGGGATTGGGAATAGCCGACAGCTGCTGCCTAGTGGAGAAGAGCCCATTGGAGTACCAAAGCTCTTCTGCTGTGGGCAAGCTCCGCCCTCCTGCACACCTGGGATTGGCGGGCAATCGAGAGGCCCGCCCAGCACATGCTGCTCACATGAGCCTTGGGCTCAACTGCTGTTGTGCTGGGCTCTGCTTGCCCACCCCACCCCCAGGCGCTCGGCTCCGACCTTGCTCTGCTGCCACCGCTGCCGCCTCGGGCTCCTGTATTGTAGCTGAGGTGGCCAACAACTTTGCCCCCCCCCCCAAAAAAAAGGGTAAACAACTCTGGGAAACTGGGGGGGGCAGACGGATCTTTGCACCCCAGCACCGCATATGCTTAAGACGGCTCTGGTTACTGAGATCATTGTTCATCATTGTTCTGGGCCTGGAACATCAAAAAATTGTTACCTCAATAATGGTTTTCATGAATGCCCTCATGAATTCTGCACGAATGTTCCATAGATGAAGTGGAAGCAATGTCTAAATACCATTTATTCTTGATGCACAGTGCAATTCCAGAAAAATGATCCAAAGGTACAGGACAAGGTCATCTTGCTGAACCTAAGCAGATCTGGGTGTGGTCACTGCTTGGAGAACACCAGAGAATCATCTGTATTCTGTCTTAAAATAAGAACAGAAGACTGTAAATACATCCGTATCAGTATTGATAAGACACTTCATGAACATTTCCACTGATGTTCCTATGTTATAGGCAAAGTTACCATGTTCATATTGGGGTTGGATGGGCCAGCATATTTCCTTTCTATATCAGTTTTGCATGTCTTCAAAAGTCTGTCCTAACAGATTTCTGCATTGATCTGCAAGAAAATTCATACACAATCACATTTTTTCTCAGAACGTTTTCTAATTTTTTTATCCTAGAAAACTCACTGCTGGAAATGTCAGGGAAAAGAGGGCACTTTTTATCATATGTGGTGGAATTGTAAAAAAGATAAGTATGGGAAATGATATATAATGAATTTTTAAAAAATGTTTAAAATAACTTTTGTCAAAAGACCAGAAGCCTTTCTCTTAGGAATTTTAGGTGCAGACATACTGAAGGATTTGAGAAGACTATTCATGTACGCGACTACAGCTGCAAGGAAGCTGCTTGCCCAGTGATGGAAAAAGGAGAATACGCCGACAAATGCAGATTGGCAAATGAAACTACTTGATTATGCAGAGATGGCTAGACTGACTGGGAAAATCAGAAATCAGGAGGATCAAACCTTCAGTAGAGAATGGGACAAATATAGATTGTATTTAAAAGAACACTGTAAACACTTGAACTCTCTGGCAGGCTTTGAATAACTCTTGCAATGTTACAAAGACTTTGGACATATTGGAGGACTGTAATTTGGATGAACTGTAATATGCAATTGACTAAGATATTTAAAGGACCTGAGGAGGGAAGTCCTAAGATTCGGAAGAATCTTGTTTTAGGTTTAATATTTTTTTTAAAAAAAAGTTAATTATGTGATTTATTTTGTAAAACCAATAAAAAATATTTCAAAAAATAAAATAAAATAGAAAACTCACTTTAAGTACAGGTCTGCATGACCTACCAAACAAAATACAACATATAGGTAATACTCTTGACCCCACCCTAGATTTTGCAGTCCTAGACTGGTGTGGGGAGGGCAGCAGGTTTATTAAACCAATAGTGGCCCCCCTGTCATAGTTGGTAGGCTGTGATGGCTCAGTAGAGGGAAAGTTGTACAGTTGTACATAATAATTCAATGCTAAACAGATGCAAAGCACAGAAAACTACTTAACTGAAGTAGCTCCAGGTTACATAAGCAAGTAAGGTCCAAAATGTTGCATATCTTCCTCTAGATAAGTACATCTTGTAGTCAGAGCCACCGGTGCAAACCTGGTTATCTCCCATGTTGAATCAATGAAAACTACAGATTTTCCACTGAGCAAGTATACAATTTTCCATGTGTCCTGTTTAATTAAGCAGAAACGTAGTGGAACCACGCGACTCCTGCCCCTTGAGGTTCCTATTCAATTTCCCATACAAACCTGACGAAATCAGAATTGGGTATCAAATAGGTTTATTTAAACACACACACACACACACACAGACACACACAAACCCTGGCTTCATTCTTTCCAAATTTCCTTTGAGTAGCCTCCAGAGAGATGTAGATAGTCTAAATGCTGCATATTAAACTTTAATTACTTATTTCTCTGTTAGGCAAGTGTGATAACTAACATTCAGGAAGAGATCTATGCATCGCAGCGTTTGCAAGCGTTCTGCAGCAGCGAGGAAATGAAAAATGACTCGGCAACCTATCACCAATCTCTGTCGGCACCTCCTGCCCCTCCGGCTGAACAGTGGGATGCCAGCTGGTCTTCTATTAACAGTAAATGGAAGATTCTTATTTATTTATAAGCGTCATTAATCTGATAGCTCTGAACGCAATTTGTTTTCCAAAGGAGAGTGCATGGAAGGTTTGCTTGGCACCATCAGGGCAAATAAAATGGATGGTTTATTCGAAACCCCACAATATTTAATCCCTGGTAAATTACGTTGCGGCAAGAGTTTTAAATTTTTGCCATTGCAGCCGTCTTATAAACACAGAAACAAGTGCATATAATAAAGTGTATTCATTGTGTCGCCACATGTAGCGAGGTGTGTTGTTTGGGAGCAACAACGATGCGGAGACTGGTGTGGATTAGAAGTGGCCACAATTCGTATTGGTTACAGGCTTCCTTACCAGAGTTTGGTAGGAATCCAAGCACCAATTTTCCACCTGCTGGAAACTTTCATCCACCCTGCACATGTGCTGGGAACTTGCCTGACCCCACAAGCAATGTGAGTGTTTTGGAAGCTAACACTAGCCTCTAAGCCCGAGGCAATAGTGTGATAGCCCAACACAGGTGGAGAATACTTCAAGGCGATATTGATCAATGATCCACAGATAACAAGAATACACCCAAAAACACATTGAAAAACCAGTCTCAAACAAGATAGTCCTGTAGAGAAGATGCTACACAAACTCTTGTCATCTTTTATGACTGTAATATGGAAGCCTTGCTAAAGATTGCCAATGATTCTAAAGGGAAAAGGTGGATTAAGTAAGAAGTTAGAAATTTTCTTTGGTAAAGAAATTTTAAACATTTGAAATATATTTTATGCTGTATTCTGGCACAAAGTCCTGCACAGATTTGACTGTGTCCACAAAAAAATTCAAAAACCAGGCCCCTTTATATTGTGTCAGGGGAGGGAAATGCTGTTTCTCTCATTGTTTCTTCTTCTTCCTCCTCCTCCTCCTCTTCTTCTTCGTCTTCTTCTTCCCCCACTACCGAGAAGGCCCTCTCCCTGGTTCTCTGTAGCTTCGCTTCTCACAGTGAGGGAACTGCCAGAAGGCCCTCGGAGCTGGACCTCAGTGTCCAGGTTGATATACAGAACAACTTTGAATAATTTGAAGAGGAGGCAAAGAAACTGAGTAATCAAGTGGAATCTGTATCTTCAGAGACACAGATCTGTTTTCTCAGATGGAAAAAAGTAACTGCAAAAGAGGAAGAGACAAATTTAGGGTGGAAGCATACTACTGTGTGTTAGATAATCTCCTGTGCTTACATAGAAGCTGTGAATATATTTGGATTCCTGGCAAAACTGAACAGTTCTTCCCAAAATAATGGTGCACTGGAAAAGGATGCAGAAGCCTTTGTGAGAGCTTACCCAAATGATCTGCAAATTTTTCCATCCTCTAAACTAAAATGTTTTATTCATTTCTTAGATACTGCAGGGGTGTGTGATGGATCTGAGACTACTGCACATAGTCATTTGAAGATAATTTACAATAAGGATCTGGTTGAAGCTTCCCCAGATGCTATCATAGCTCTCAGCCTTTATCTAATTCTGCCAATTTTGAATGCTGAAGGAGAAACATCATTCTCCAAATTAGTCTTTATTAAAAAAAATAAGTTACATTCCACAAAGCTACAGTCAAGACAGTCATCATTATCTGTTCTATCTATAGATTGGGATCTTCTGAGAGAAATATTTTTTGGTAATCTCATCACTGAATTTGTTGACAAGAAAACTAGGCGGGGAGAAGATGAGACGACTTTTTAAATATTATGAATGCAGCTTGTCATTTTGTGTAAATATTTTCTTTAACTTTAGTCATAAAATGTTAATATTCTGATGTCAAATATAGCTGGGGTTTTTTCCAAGTATTATATATATTTTTTCCAGCTGAGGGGGAAATGAAACTGACACAAAGTGCTGTGGGATTGTGCTGTGGGATTTCAGGGAGGGGCCCTCAAATAAGCATTTTGCCCTGGGCCTCTCAGTGTCTTAACAAGACTCAGTGCCCTATAATGCTCTGTTGGCAAAAGACTTCACTTTAGTCCATTGCAACAGAGTCACCAAACACTGTCTAAGCTCTTAGCACCAACCTCAACAACTTGGCTCCACTCATCTCCACTTAAATTCAGCCAATTGCACCACCCCTATGAATGCTCTGTACACCAAAGAGCCAGTTATCAAAGATCCTCTCCACCTCCATCATCATCTCTCCCTTGTTTTCTCTTCTTTTTCTTGAACTTTGACATTCCTTCCTTTGAATCTGGCCTTGGTAATGAGAAGACACCCACATATCAATAATGTTTCCATTATTATTATTATTTTACATAGGAGGTGCGTGCCTAATGCTTCCTCACTCATTATAATTATAATGTTTACTTATTGTATTGAAAATCAGTCTGATTCAAACTTTTTTATATATAAAAAAACTCATCCATGCAATATGTTTTGAAGACCAGGCAGTCTCTGCTGATACATCCCATGGACTGGGATTGTCCAGGAATATAAATGCCGCTTCCTTCAAGCAGTTCCTATTATTATGGTGACTGATAAACGTATTGCCACAGTTGTGGAAATCACTGCAATGACCCTTGTAACCTGGTGTAATTCATGAACAAATACATGCCTCAGAAGAGTCAAGATGGAGCAGGTATTTTGAATGTCTGTGTGGCATTCGTATGGAGCCCCCAGTCGTCTCGTGGACTATTGACCCGTACACCACTAATCCGCTGCCACCAACCAGGTCCTCCCCGGTAAATCACTTAGTCTCAGTCAGGTTCTTAAGTTAACAAAGAAGAGTGCAGTTTATTGCAGACACAAATAAACTTTAACTGCATTCAAAATGTTGTTACTCTTTACCTTCTTAGTCTTATTTTTATCCTGTCTCTAACTCTTCTACCTCCCCTCCCACAAAAACCAACTGCACTAACTGTCTCTCTAATTCCAACTGTCTGCCAACTGCTTTCCCAACTGCCTTTTCCCAACCAACCAACTAACTAAACCCAACCAACCCAATCCTCGGGCTAAGCCCTTTTATAAACAGGTAGGCTCCACCTCTGACTTTTCTATTGGTCTACCTATTAACTCTCCCCCTGTACAGACATTTTAAAAAGAACAGGCAAAGACCACAGTCTGAAGCAGCCCTTAGTGCTGGAAATAGTACTTGGTACATATTTATAAGCTATTCCTACTTCACAAGCCCCAAAGTTGAATGGGAAACCGTGGGTCAATTGAAGTCCTGATAATATGACAAATCTGCCAAATGAGACATGGGAAGTTGACATCAAAGAGGTAGATCTCATTTATGGTATGTGAGAAATTGTAATGGACGGCTGATGCTTTTCTGTGACTTCTGTCAAGGCATACATGATGTAACAGGGCTGTGATTGAGCCATGACAAGGGAAGAATTAGTAATCCCAAGGCTTCTGAATATCTAACAGCTAAATGCCTTGCTCTATGGATGCATGTGGCTGGAAGAGATCATAAAATCATAGAACTGAAGAGTTGGAAGGGACACCAAGTGTCATCTCATTCAAGTTGCTGCAATGCAGGAATCTAAATATATTTTTATTAAACAATTTCAACAAAACAAATTATCAATCCAAATAATCAATTACACACACCCCCTTTTTATTCCCCATCCCTCCCTCACCTCCCCACCAAAGACTTCCCTCAGCTCCCCTCTCTGATTTGTTTACACATATTATTCTCTTCATGTTAAAAATTGTACATATCATTACTTTATCTGTCATATATTCTATTAATAATTTTGTGGGTGTTTATTCAAAACCTGCCAAGGAGTCCAAGTCATTTTGTGTTTTTTTTTTAATAGTTTGTAAAAAGTTCCCAATCTTCCTTGAAGTCACGATTGTCCTTCTCACATAGTTTATGTGTCAACTTTGCCAACTCTGCATAACTCATCAGTTTTTCTTGCCATTGTTCTTTCGTTGGGATTTCCTCCTTCTTCCATCCTTGTGTTAACAAGACTCTTGTTGTTGTTGTGGCATACATAAATAAATTCTTTGTTTTTCTTGTCAGGTCTCATCCTGAAATTCCTAAAAAAAAATCTTCTGGTTTCTTTACAAATGTCATTTAAAACATTTTTTTTCAATTCATTATATATCATTTCCCAATTTTTTTTAACTTCTCTACATTCCCACCACATATGATACATAGTACCTTTTTCTTTACATTTCCAACATATATTTGACCGGGTTTTGTACATTTTTGCTATTTGTACTGGTGTGATTTACCATCTACACATCATTTTCATATAATTTTCTTTCAAAAGAGAACAATCTGTAAATTTCACATCCACTTTCCACAGCTTTTCCCAATATTCAAATTGTATATTGTGCCCTATATCTTGTGCCCATTTGATGATAACTGATTTGACCAGCAATGAAGGAATCTAAACAAGGGGACGGCAAAGTTTTTGTGGCTTGGGCAGGTTCACGGTCCCGCAGACGCCAAGGTGAGCCGGAGTGTGTGCACGCACACACACACACACATGCACAAACGCTATTTCCAGCACTCCTTCTGGCACGGAGGAGGCGTGCACAGCTTGGGAAGCCAGCCGGCATCGCGGAAGGTGGTTCCCCGCTCTGCTCCACACTGGTTTAGCGCAGCGCACAGGAGCTGACTGAGCAGGCAGCGGGGGTCCATGGACCGGTTAAACAACCCCCATGGGCCAGTTGTGGCCCATGAGCCTTAGGTTGCCGACCCCTGATCTAAACTAAAGCATCTATGACAGATGGCCATGGATGTTTTCTTAAACGAGCATTGGTGGACCATGATGGCAACTGATAGTTGCTAGACATCTACTGATGCAGATGAGGGGTGAAACCACTCTTCTGCATTTCTCTGTGTGACATAGAGAAAAGCAGGTTGGTCGGTTGGTTGGTTAGGAAGGAAGGAAGGAAGGAAGGATTCCCTGGAGGCCAAGATCGAACTTTGGGACAAGTATTCTTGGCGAGAGAATCCCAGCAGTACAGTAATTTAAAGTCACAAAATATACAGCAAAGTAAATTGTGGAAGTATAGGATGTTAGACCTTTGAAATATGCCCTTCAAAGTTCCCTCCAAAGTTTCCCACTTCCTCCAGAGTAGAAAAAAAATGGCTTACTTACAAACTCTTCAAAGGTCTGGTTCATGCGCTTCAGAAAAGTTGCACAGGAAGTAATACTTAGGCTAGTTACAAAGTGGCAAAAGTTCAGCCATACAGTTGAGCTGGAACAACCAACTCAAATCTCTTCACATGCTAAGTTTTTCAGGTAGACTTGGGGGGGGGCAATAGGATTGATCAATGAGTATGCAGTTTGCGCATCTGTGTGCACAAGGTGGCAGAATGTTAATCAATAACTTACCTAGAAATTTTATTTAGAGTTGTCTATATGATTAGGCACTCAATATATGATCTACGTAAGTGAAATGTCTACTAGTTACATCTGAGGCTTGGAATGTTTACAATATTTGAACTGTTCTTGCTTACTTAAAATCAATAAAAAATTCTATTGGGGGAATCAACAATTGCACCCATTTTCACATGAATGCTTGTAACATGTGTAGAGATAGCTTGCAGTGTAAAATGAAAAGCACACATCAAAGAAACAGCATTGGCACCAGTATTCTCATCTAATGAGAAAATAGATCCTGTGAATTGCTACTCCTGGAACTTCCTCTGAAATAAAGCAAACAAACACACAATGGAAAGTGACTCCAGTATACTATGTTCCATGCTTTTCACCACGGCAGTTCAGATTCGAAAGACCTGAGATATAATTTCACATGATGATTCCTGATTGATGTCATCTTTCAGAGAGAATAAATTGGAATAAGAAATGCAGATGACTTTTCTCATCTATGGAGTCATATAAATATCTGAAGTTGCAATTCACATATTGGGTTTTTAAAAATTGAAAACGGAACTTCAATTTCACAGCAGAATAAAACCATTTATTGTACCACCCACATGTTATCTTCTCTTTTTTTAAAGAATAGGAATGTTTCCCCCCCAAGTGCATTTTATTTCTTGTATTTATTTAATGAGGTAATAATCTTTGCTGTTCTATGTATTTGAATAAAGCTGGGAATTACCCTCTTTTAGAAAATAAATTGTATTTTAAATATTCATAACATGAAATAATAATTTCCCTCTGCTGCAGTTACTGCTTTTAGACCGTGTTTTTATACAGGTAAGATAATTGTATACAATGCTATCCAATCAGATCTTGGTGGGAATGCATTATTGAAACAAGTAATATGAATGAAAATGGTTTCTTCCTATCTTTTTTCATAATGAACAGGATCTCATTACATAGATCTCCCTAAATGGAAAAATGTGAACACTGCAATCATATATTTAAAAAATGAGATGTTCATATGCACCCAAAGTAACATCACAATAGCTTTTAATAATCTCAGTGCATTTCCTGTGTTTTAAAAATCATATTTCATCATAACTGTGACTAAATAATCTCAAGGATATATTCAGGAATGTGATACATGAAACCAGTTATCTCCCCAAAGCATTCCTTTCCCCCCCTTTTATCAGTCTACAGTGTAGGCAAAGTGAATCTTAATAATGCTGTTCCTAGTCTTAAGTTGTTAGCAATTTTGGTTCACTTTTCAATGGATTTTTGTTTGTTTGTTTTGTTTTCTCATTTAAAAAAAGTGACAAGGGAAATGTTATGGTTACTATGTTCTCTCTTTTTTAAAAATAGACTGGTGGAAAAGAAATTGAAAATAGTCACAACAGCCTAACAGCTACAGTCCTCAGAGAGGGTTAACAGTCAATCCTTCTTCCCATGGAACTCTGGGAATTGTTGCTCTGTGAGGAAATAGGGGTCACTTAACAACTCTCAGCATCCTTAACAAACTACATTTCCCAGGATTCCCATGGCTGTTAAAGTGGTATGATACTACTTCCAATACATACTGCTACGGGCTTTTAAGACATGATGCCTTCTCTTGAACAGAGAAATTTACACTGCAACTCAGCGACACCATTTGCTTGTCAGTTTGAAATGTGGTTAGATCTGAAACTGAGAGAAATGATGTGTCAGAGCCGCAGTACCCCTGAACCTACTTAAGCTCAGCTGCAGTAGCTATAGGCTTTTGCTTTGAAATGGCGTTTTCTTCTTCAATCATTTTGCAGCAGCCAACAATGAAATCAACAAATGCTTTTAGAAACTCCTTCTTCACCATTGTTTGCGTGTGGATGAGACCATACCATTAGTAGGAAAGGCTCTGGAGAGGTCTCCTTTTTAGTCATAATAACTACCAGTCATGTCTAATATGTGTACATTGAATCAGAGGAAGGGAACCTGGTGCTTTTCATATATTGTTGGACTACAACCCCCATCATCGGTGACCATTGGCCATGCTAGCTGGGACTGCTTATTAGAGTCTGACAATATCCAGCCTCTACCTAATGTCCAACCCCTGATTCAGAGGCAGTTTTGTTCAGGAGAATGAGCCACATTTATGAGGGAATGTGGATAATCTCTTCAGTTTCTCAGCTGCATTTTCATTTCATTTCATTTTCATCCCAAACATGAAACCAGGCAAACAGGATTTGAACCCTTGTGCAAAGTTGAAGCTGTGACGAATAATAATTAATCCCACCCATGTAGATTTCCATGTTCTAAAGTCGTTTCATTATTGGGCCGGTGACTCTGATAGTTCTGTCCATTCTGTCTTGCACCAAAGTACAATTTTATCTCTATGGAGTTGTTCACAGTTACATCTTACTTGCCCGGGACTTGAGAGTTGTATCCTACCAAGTTCTACTGAGACTTGAGTTATTAAAATTAGCAAACCTGTCATGTCCATTCATTTAAATTGGCCTACTCTGACTATGGCTGCTCCAAGGTCACCTAGTGAGGTTCATGGCCCTAGTCTTCTAGTTCATAGTCCAACACTCTGATCACTACAACATTTTTATTGGCTTTTTGTGATTCCTTTTCAGCTGAAGAACAGGGTAAAAATGTTGCAAATAAATGTTGTTGTTGATGTTGTTAGTGCTATTTTTCTAAAAAAAGAGGTGCTAGAATTCACCATGAACACCTCCATTGTTCTCTTGTAACAGCAATGGTGCCTACCTGAGAGGCACCAGAACTGAGTCCCGGTGAGTTCCTGCTGCAAAATAACCTTGATACTATTATTAAAATGTATTGATGCTAGCTACAATGTCAAAGGCAGAAGCTTAGAAAGTGGGACTGTTCCTCTTGCATTGCTGTAGCTATTTTGAAGTACAGAAAGTAACCACAACAAAAGTTCTTAAAATTCTGCAATGTAACCTTGAATGTATCCAACAGGAGGTCTTTAATCCTTAATGAGAATATTGTCCCCATGCTACTGAAATCTCTTACATATCTATGAACGTATACATCTGCTTTATAGTGATCCAGATCATTAGTCTTTCTAGCCCAGCATTTGCTATTCTGACAGTCAGACAGTGACTTGCCAAGGACTCTGGTAGAGGTCCTTCCCAGGCCTGCTACCTGAGAGCCTTTTTCAACAGAGATGCCAGCCTGAGACATGGTCCAGATGAGGCCTCACACTTCCCCCACGCTTACTGAAATCTGAAATAGCATCCCAGGATAATGGGAATGCTGACCTCATCATTCATATACATTAGCCACAGACGTAGGGACCAATGTTTAGCTCTTTCCAAAGATGTTCCCAGATGGGAGTGCTGATACTTCAGATGGCTTTTCCTCCTGGTGTGTAGGTGGAGGTCCTTCTTCAAACAACCTCACCCAATGTCACATGTCCGGAAATTCGACCCCTGCCCCACGGCAGCCAGCAAGGGATATATAGACAGGAAAAGCTCTTACCAAAGTCTTTTATTCAATATTCACAGAGAGGCTTAGAAAGGTAGCCTCTTGGGGTAATAGCATTTCTCAGAGTAATCTCCTCCGCCCTTGCCTTCTCAGTCATCAACCACCACCCCTTACAGTGGCTGCTTAAGGCCATTTGTCTCTTAGCTCTTTGCTCTCCTACTTTCAAGGCCCGCCAGGTTCTGGGAGGTGGTGGGTCTGGAATGCTTTCTAGTGATAACGTATCAGCCAGCTGCTTTGGCTCTGCTTCTCTTCCCTCCCCCCTTTTCCCATTATTTTCCAGCTCTGCCCCTCATCTATCTCTGAGCCGTGACCTTCTGCAAACCATTGTTATAAACCTATACTGTCTTCTTCTTCTCTGGAAGTTTCAGGAGGAGGGGATGGTGGTCTCCACCATTCCTCCCCAGTCCAGTCCCTGACACCCAGGAGGGAAGGGCAGTTCCACTCACCTCTGCCCCCGGAGTCTTTACCAAAGTACTGATGGTTCTGGTAGCCCATCTGAGGACTCTGGGCTGTGGGTGCCCCCCTATTTGAATGATGTCCTAGTCAGGGCATTTTCAAGGACTCCGTGTGAGAGAAATGTGGCGACCACTCTGTCGTGTCTACAGTTTTGTTGTGAAATTGGGAAAGAGTGCCCTGGAGCCTACATAAATCAGTGCACACCTATAATGTAGATAGATTTGCAGCACATATTTGCAGAAGTCATTTGAAAACGGACCCTGCCTGCACACCAGGAGGAGGAGGGCCATTCCTAGTATCTAGGAACCTCTGTTGAAAGAGCTATTTTGTGTATGTTCTTTGGTTAAGTTATACTGTGTACCAGGGCTGCCCTCCAGGGACCTCTAGAGGGAAATGGAAATTATTCCTGGAGGCCAGTTGTCCCCTTCCTCTTTCAGCTGCCTGGGTCATGTCTGTATCAATGACTTTTGTTGACATAGTACAAGTGGGATGGTAGCTAGGGCTCCCTATAGAATTCCTGACATGTCCATTTCTAATCCAGTTCATGTTAGTGATGTTCCATTTGTTCCTGCTGGGGCTGTTTTCAATTTGCAACCTTATAGTTGCTCTGTGGGAGAGATGGGAATAACCATGTCATGTGTTCTTGCTGCATCAATGGAGTTGTGGGCTTTGAGAGGTTGCTCGACTAGCTGGTCTGAAGTGTAAAATGGTCCTTCCCCCACTGGATAGAGGCAGATTTAGGGGAGCACGGCCAGTTTGGCCACACTGGGCATGGAGCCTCAAGAGGGCTGCAGGGGACACTGGGGCACAAGATGCGGGAGTGCCAAATTTTGGTGTTGCACAGGTTGCTGCTGAAATTTGAGACCTCAAGGTCCACCACTGCTCGGGTTAGGTCATTTGAAGATGGACCCTGCCTGCACAGCAAGAAAAGGAGCCATTCCAACTCCAGCAAAACATAAATTCCACCAAGGATTCCTGTTTTTCTCACAATTATGTGTTGTGTTCAGAAACCAAAAATAATCCCATTAGATACAACCGTTAACCATGTTACATTTGTCCACAAGTTTGTTGCTTTATAAATTTGAAAAAGGCATGCTTTTCCTCTCCAACAGTCTCTCCTTCAACAGGATACTTAGGCCTAGGTGTAAATTTTGAGTACACTCATCAGCCTGCTGCCCTGCTGAAAGCAAAGTGGAGCTATCTACTACAGGGATGTGGGGCATTTGTGGCCCTATGGGTGTTTTTGCACTTCAGCTCCCAGCAGCCCCAACCAGCATGGCCAGTGCACAGTGGTGATGGGAGCTGTAGTTCAGCAATGTCTAGATCCTGTTAGGCTAGGCTAGGCAGGGGTAGCCAACACCTAAGAGACTGCGATCTACTTACAGAATTAAAAACTGGCAGTGATCTACCCCCATTTTGGGGGGGTTCAGGTCAAAGTTGTTGAGTTTTTTTAGGGATGAAGAAAACCCAGATTTTATGGGGGGGTGGGGGGGAAGAGGGACAGCCACTCACCGACAAATCGCTGGGGAAACAAACAGCCTCACTCAGTAACAAAGCCAGACCGATACCCCAAAGAGAAAACAATAGAAGACCACTAGTAATCACATACAGCTCTCAAGTTAAAACAGTTCAACGCATCATCAGAGATTTGCAACATCTCTTAGACAATGACAACTCTCTTTCCCAAGCTCTGGGAGGAAAACCTTTCATTGCCTACAGATGTAGCCTTATGAGGCTTTGCCCTCGGGTGGTAAAAATATTGCGTCTGGGAAAGGGAAGTGGGAGTCAACAGACACTCAAGGAATAGTTTCGGAGAAAAGGCTTTTATTTCTACCATCCATGAACTGGTAGAAGGAGCAAGTGTGGTAAGTCACAAAAAGCATGCACGAAGTTCACAGTCATGTGCACAAGCATATATACCCCTTTCCAGTTCCCTCCTCCTTTCTCCTCCTTCCAGAGTCCTGCCCCATAAGTTCCTCTGAGCATGAACAGAAAGCTGTCTTGGGACTATTGGACTCTTGATGCCATTCCCAGGAAAGGGGTTTCAGAGTGTTCAGATATGTTTCAATCTCTTGTTCTGGCATGGTTCCTGGACAGAAAGCAAGTTGCAATGTGGTTCTTTAGCAAGGCCAGAAGGCATGAGAAAGGCCTGAGAAACAATGGACTGTTCTCTACCTTTGTTACAGCAGAGCGGAATGTTTCTGATGCTTAGCTGCTGAGAAAATGATTTTGAAAAGTTTTGAGAAGCTTTGAGCCTGCTTTGGTGGGGGGGTGACTTCGGGCCTAGGTGAGGTCACCTGTCCTCACCTTCCTTCACAGAAAGACACCCAATCTGAAACTGACGCGCAGCGTAAATCAATAATGCAGAGTTTTTAATTGAATAAAAGCTTTACTGAGTTAAAATAAACTTCTTCATAAACAACATAGTTCCAAACAGTTTGAATGAGATTACATACTGACTCTGCTCACAGCTGAGGCGGACTGACTCTGACTGAAAACTTAAAGAGAGCACAAAGAGAAACTGGCTGCTAAGTCACATGTCAGAGTGACTCAACAGTTAGCAGTTAGGTCTGAATAACTTTAGTAGCCCCAAATGATTGTGCAGTCCCAGCACTTCCCAGCCTGCTTTGCTGCTTCTGCTCTCATGTGTCTTTGTTACATGTAATAAAGAGCTCCTCACACACAATAATACAACAACCAGACTTAACATGGACATGTGTGAGAACTCAGCAGGAGCCCAGGGTGAACAGACAGTGGGTAGCCGCTGGGTTTACCGTCTTAAGCCCACAGCGACAGGAGAACCGCAGTATAAGGCCAGATTAGTGGCGAGAGGATTCACGCAGCGCAGGGGGTTGCATTATATGGAAATTTATGCTCCCACCTGTAGGAGTGAATCTCTACGCTTGGTCTTGGCCATTGCTGCACAAAGAGGTTTGCTGGTGCATCACTTTGACGTGGATGTTGCTTACTTGAACTCAGACCTCCAGGAGGATCTGTACATGCTTCCTCCTCCAGGGTTTGAGGGCAATGAGCAAGGTACTGTGTGGAAACTTCACAAGTCAATTTACGGCCTGAAGCAGTCGGCCAGGAATTGGAACTTGTGCCTGAATGAAGCTTTGGAGAAGCTAGGTTTCAGGAAGAGTCTTGCTGACAGTTGCCTGTTCCTTAGAGGATCAGGAGACTCACAGGAACTGGTGTTATTTTACGTTGATGACATCATCCATGTTGGAAAGGCAGACAAACAGGTGCAGAAGTTTGCCAAAGAGCTTGGGAAATGGTTTCAGCTCAAGGACCTGGGTGCAGTAAAGATCTACCTAGGCGTCCAGATAGCGAGAACTGAGGATGGTAGCTTCTTGCTCAGTCAGAAAGGCAAGATTGAGCAGTTGCTTGAGAAGTTCAGAATGTCCGATTGTGCAGGAGTTCGGACACCCATGGAGATGAACTTCGTGAAAGATAGCCAGCAAGCAGAAAGTGCTGAGTTTGAGAATGCTGAGCTCTTTCAGTCAGCTCTAGGTAGTCTGTTGTATCTGTCCCAATGGAGCAGACCAGACATTGCCTTTGCTACCAACCTGCTAAGTAGGGAAGCGTCAAAGCCCAGTGTGAGTGCTTGGCACGGTATCAAGCGGGTACTGCGCTACCTGCAGCATACCAAAGACTTCTGTCTTAAGCTGCCAGCTGAAGGTGAGGCGAAGCTCACATGCTATGCGGACAGTGACTGGGCGAATTCGCAGGACCGCAAGTCTGTGTATGGGTTGGTGGTAAAGTTTGGGAAGTCACTAGTTGGGTGGAAGTCCCGGAAGCAAAGTCTCATTGTGCTGTCTTCTACTGAGGCTGAATTCAGTGCACTGTCAGATTTGTGCTGGGAACTAGAGTTCTATAGATGCTTGGTGCAAGAGATCTATGGGGATTGTAGCTTGCCCAAACAATCAACCCTGTTTGAAATTGGCTGAATCTGCGCAATTTAAGGCCAGAACCAAGCATCTGGACATACGTTTCCAAAATGTGTGTCAGAGTGTTCAGTCAGGTTTGATACGGCTGAAGTACTGTGCCAGTCACAGTAACTTGGCCGATGGATTTACCAAACCTTTAAGCTTCCAGCGTCATGGGGAGTTTTGTGGTGGTTTGGAGTTGGGGGTAAGTTCTGTACTTACTTTCCCCACAGTAGCGCAGGGCGAGAGGGGGTGTGAGGAGAACCTGAGCTTACAGGGTTAAACAGCTCAGAGTGTACGCCCTGCCTACAGGGGAGGGGAGGTCTGCGTCATTTCCGAGAGCCTCAAGCCTTTGTTCTTTCTCTCTACTTTCGCTTTTGAGGAGAGAGGACGTGTTTTCACGATGCTGTTCGCTGTGATAGATAATGGATAGTCTGCTGTAAATAAAACTGCTTTTAGCTGCTAAGATCCTGAGTGGACTTTATTTAAGCACACTGAAGCAGGCACTGGAGTTTTTGCGGTCTTTCTCTTACCGCTGCCGATCTCTGCTTTGCTCAGAAGCATCGGAATGTGGACTTTGGAATGCAGAGGCCTGGTCGGCAAGCAGAGCTGCGTGCAGCGGAAGCATGCCGGACCAGGCTTATCTGAGCAATAAATCAATCTGCTCGACAGGTTATGGACAGGACACTGGCACAAGAGCCTGCAATATATCTAGATGCCGACTTTGCTGCCACATACACCCGGACAACATCATTATTGGCTCCAATAACATCAAACATACCATCTCAGGCCTATTTAATTGTTCATCTTCCAACATTATATATGCTATCAAATGCCAACAGTGCCCTTCAGCTCTCTATATTGGACAAACATTACGCCAAAGGATAAATGGGCATAAATCTGACATCAGGAATCATAAACAGAAACCAATAGGAGAACATTTCAATCTCCCAGGACATTCTATACAAGATCTTAAAGTCGCTGTCTTATTACAAAAGAATTTTAGAAATACACTTGAAAGAGAAGTTGCTGAATTGCAACTCATTACCAAATTTAAAACTATGGAGAGACCTGGTCTGAATAGACATATTGGATTCATGTCCCATTATACATACTAAAGCTTATTTTGGTCATCTATCGCTTTAAAAATCCCTTGCCCTTCCCTGTGGAACCAACTGCCATTAACAGTCATCAACAGTAATAAGGTTGAAGCAACCTCTGCTCCAGAGTATCTGACGAAGTGTGTATTACACACGAAAGCTCATACCTTGAAAGTTTATATTTACAGTGGTACCTCGGATTACATACGCTTCAGGTTACAGACTCCGTTAACCCAGAAATAGTACCTTGGGTTAAGTACTTTGCTTCAGGATAAGAACAGAAATCGTGCTCCGGCGGCACGGCAGCAGCGCGAGGCCCTATTAGCTAAAGTTGTGCTTCAGGTTAAGAACAGTTTCAGGTTAAGAACGGACCTCTGGAACGAATTAAGTACTTAACCTGAGGTACCACTGTAGTTGATCTTTAAGGTGCCACTGGAATTATTTTAAAATATTTTTTTCATCTTTCATCTTGTTATTTATTATGACTATGACAGATCAACTCAGCTATCCACCTGAATCAGTAAACTCCATCTTCCGTTCTGCAGATCACGCAATGGAGGGTGGGGCGAGGGGGCAGGGCCGGAAAGGGACCCACAGATCGACCGCAATCTACCAAAACCTCCCGAGGATCTACCAGTAGATCGTGATCGACTTGTTGGGCATCCCTGGGCTAGAGCATCCTTTCTCAACCTGCTTCCCTGCAGATGTTTTGGACTTCAGTTTCCATGAATCTCAGCTGCTACAGCCCAGTTGGTGAAGCCTGGAAAAGAAGATAGCAGGCATCTGTTCTATGGTCACATCTATAGCAGTTAAGTTGCTTCCTAAATGCTGTAAGTGCCAACCCCATGCTTGGGCTAAGATTGGATATTGTGAATTTTTGCTGTGGTCATTACCGAAAGCTGTATATTAGGACTGGATTCAAAATCTATTCAATTGCAAAAGAATTGGCTACATCTGGTATTCCACTTATTGCAAATCTGTTCCCTCATTCATGGGCATTATGTACACGGTGAGCAGAACTAGAATAGCCTAATGTTCCTTGCAGGTTGTTGTGGTTTTTTTGAGACAAGCTGAATTAGAAGATTATATTGGTTTGCTCCATTACCCCCTTTGCCTAGATAATGATGGACAAGTTAAGGATAATATCACACCTATCGGGTGGTTCACACATAGCATACCCATCAGTAGATGTTGCAGTCATGGAGCGATGTATGAATGGGATATCGGAGATGTAACAGAACTTTCATATAATCTCATACATATAGTCAGCTCATAGATTCTTCTGCCAGTCATCAGGCGTCAGGCTGCCAAAAAAGCCCTTCCGTCTGTGGTTCAATGCTGTAAGCAGAAACAGGCATGGCTTGACAGTAATTAACTCTATTGCCCAGTAACCAAGGAGACAGCTCATGGCACATCCGTCAGCTAAGCAAGTCAGTTGCAGAAGCTAAAGTTCCGTCCTCTCTTCCCCTGTATTTATGCATTTTTTCGCCGTGACTCAGCTTTTCTTAATTGTTCTAGCCTTTCCTCGACTCTTCTTTCCTGCGCTGAGAAGGGGGATGGGGAAGGAGCTGAATCAGAAGTGTATTGCAGGACAGGAGACACAGCCCCTGCTTCTCCTCTAGGAGTCTGTGGCTGGTAGCCTCTCCCCTTCCCCCTCACTCTCTGCTGATGATTTCTCCCTGCTCCACCAGTCTGAACCCGGTTCGAAGTCTGCTTCCCTCTCAGGTGCCTCTTGGACTATTGGCTGCCACCTCTCTTCCTCTTCCAGCCAATCCCTGGCATCAAACCTGGTTCCCATTTGAATACACATCACTTGATGATTTAGTACAGCACTCAGTGATGCTTTGCCTATATGAACGGGCTACCACAGAGATCGTGCCATAGAGAAAGTGTTGCCTTCAGTGTCAAAGCACATGCTTTGAATGTCCTTGCTTCCTTTCTTTTTTTAATAATTTTTATTCATTTTCCAAACAAGTTTTATACAATCAACAAATTGTTTTACACTCATGCTTCAATTTTTGACTTCCCTCAGTTTCTCTGACAATCTTTCAAAAAATTTCTATTTATTAACGCATTTCTAAACATGATATTGCCTTTCCCCACTCCTTTTCCTCTTACTCTCTTTTTTGCAGTATTTCTTACTATTTCACAGAGTCTCTTCAAAACCAACAAGCATTGTCTGTACATCACATATATTTTTCAGATATTCTATAAATTTCCCCCAGTCCTCGATAAACTTTTGGTCTTTCTGGTATCGAATCTTCCCAGTCAATTTGTCCAATTCTGCATATTCGGTCAATTTCCTTCTCCATTCTTCCACTGTTGGCATTTCTTCCTGTTTCCATCTTTGGGCCAGAAGTATCCTTGCGGCAGTCACTGCATATTGAAACAGTTTACAGTCTCTCTTATTGATTTCGTTTCCTACCATTCCTAATAGAAAGGCTTCTGGTTTTTTAACGAACGTATATTTCAACATCTTTTTCAATTCATTGTATATCCTTTCCCAGAAGTCTTTCACCTTTTTACATTCCCACCACATATGATAGAAAGTACCTTCTTTTTCTTTACATTTCCAACACTTATTGCATGTTTTATACATTTTGGCCAGTTTAACTGGCGTTATATACCATCTGTAAAACATTTTCATTACATTTTCTTGAATGTCCTTGCTTCAATTCTCAGCATCTCCATCTTATGACTGGGAAGGATTCCAGTCCAAAAACCAATAATAATAATAATAATAATAATAATAATAATAACAACAGTACAGTCATACCTCATGTTGAAGGGGCATATTACAATATAATTGTTATTATTTTTATCCCAAAAGGGGAGGTTTCTACACCAACCAGAAGGACACGCTTAAATGTTACAGTGCAAATGGGCCTCTCGTTGGAATGTCTAGGCTTAGGTGGTGAAAGATAAGAGCAAGGTTGAATGTGTGTTATTCTGGCCCCAGACCGGGGGGGGGGGGAGACTGAAGACAAGGAGGTGAGTTGAAAGGGAGGAGGGTAATGCAAGAGACAAAGCCCCATTTTATTGCTACTAGTATAAATCACATGTTTTACATTTGAGACTTCCGGGGTGGCGCCTCCGGAAAATGGCGGAATTCCCTTCGAACTGAAGGGAACCCGCTGCACGGAGGCTTGGGTCCTGCCGCTACGGCGCAGCGGGGACCCTTAAAAACCACAGGCGGAAGAAGCCTGTGGGCGTGGGACTCGGCGGGCACCGAGAGCGCTCTCTCCCTTGTACAGGAGCCCGGTAACGGGCTCCGGAGTGGGAGGTGCGTGGTGCTGTGAGTCGACTGCTTCCTCCGTGCAGCAAAGCCGCACTGCCGTTTCGGAGAGCGCTGCCATTTCCTGGACAATTTGGCATCTAAAACATCTATCCGTGAGTACCTGATCCTGGAAGAGCTGAACTACTTTTAAGATTGGTGAATAAATAAATAACATTGGACTTGAACTTGAAATTGAATTTAATTGGGACTCGGAACGGAAAGGTCTAAACAGGAAGTCGCCTTCCGTTCTTTTGTTACGTGAAGAAAGCAAAGACAAATTATACTAAAGCCTGAAAACTAAATTCTGAGAGAACTAAAATTCAACATCTAAGATTTCTGAACCCCCTTTGATTGCAGGAGAAGAAGGGGGTTGTTTTGATCTTTTCAACCCTGCGGAAGTGAGTTTAAAATAAAGTAATTTTCCACCGCCCTGAACCAGGAGCGGGCTGTCAGAACTGACGTTTTGAAGCTTATCCAGCTCGACAGATAGTTAAAAGAAGGGTAACATTTTGATTCTACTGTTGCCTCTTGAATTTGAAAGGGGGAATTTTGGATAAAGTGTTTCTGGAAAAAGAAAGATTGTTACTGTTGTTTTTCCCCCTCTTAAAAAATAAAAAAATAAAAAAAAAGGGTTTTCCATCTAGTGGAACTGAGTGAAATTGCAATGCAGAGAGTTTAAAAGAGAAGGACCATTCTCGTGGGAAAGAATTTTTTTTGACCTTGAAGGACAATGCTTGTACAAAGGCTTGAACAAGTGTTCCTGGAAGGTTTTGCAAAATTAAGTGCCCAGCTGGACCAGATGCGTCAGGAGTCGACCTTGATGATGACGGAAGTCACCAGAGCACAGCAGCAAACAAATGAAATTCAGTTAAAGTCTATACAAGTATATGAACCTGCTGTAGCGACGGAGGCTTCAGAGATGGAGGGACCTATGGATGGGCAAGATCAGCCTTTGAACTTGATAAATGAACTTGGGACAAACCTGATTCGGAAAGATGAAATGTGGTCAGATTTGGAAATGGGGGGATGGATTGACACCCCTCTATATGGTTATTTGGACTTTCCGAGTCTAGGGATGGGCCATCAGAGGATTGGAGTAGTCGAAGTCTCCAAGTTTTCTGGAAATTGGAAGTGGTATTATCTGCTGTCTGGCTTGGGTAATGGGTTTGGGATGGACTTGCTGCAAAGAGTCAAAAGCATCTTCTTGCTGGAGTATCCACGACTGAAAGGGAAATATCAACAAGAGTGGCGAAAGGGGCAAGAAAGAGACTTGAGGGCCTCGGACACGAGACAACCAGGTTAAGGAGCCGGATTATTGAGGTTAAAAGGACTGACAATCCCGGGACCAGGGGAGGGGAGGCTGGAAGTTGACTGGACTAAATCTGACTTATTATTTTTTCTTTCTTATTTTTTAATATTGGGAATGTTTATAAATGTTTGAAGGATGTTGAATGAAATTATATGACTTAAGTAAGGATTGGTAAATGATTTGTAAAAAGGTAATGATGTAAGAATTTGCTAAATATGGAATATAAGCTTTGAGTTTTAAAGTTTTTATATGACAAGAGGGAAAATAGAACAAGGAAACGCAATGATAGATTGTTATGAAAAAACAGAAAGGATTTGCTGTAAAAATTAAACACTAAGAAACAAGAGAGGGGAGGAGGAGGAAGTCTAGAAAGGAAGTTAATGGAGATCGTAAAGGATTTTATATTTCTGTTTTTCTGTTTTTCTTTTTTTCTTTTTTGCGGCTGGGTTTTTTCTTCTTTATTATTTCTGTATTATTTTTGTTTTTTTTGTATTTTCAAACTTTTTTGGAAATTTTTGTTGTTATTTGTTACTTTTTGAAAATTTAATAAATATCAATTAAAAAAAAATAATAAATCACATGTTTTACATTTGAACACGTGTCGAGGTTCATGGCGTGGAGAGGCTGGTCAGGAAGGAAAGGGGGGGGCAAGCCCATGTAAGGACATAGGAAGTTGCCATAACTTTCGGTTTACAAGAAATCAGGTGGCTTACAAGAGATCAGGTGGTATTCTATTCTGCAAATCTATATAAAGGGGGCACACCCTGACTGGGTGTGCAGGTTGCGTACTTATCGCCCTGTACCTTTGTTCTGCATGTGCACTTCAAATAAAAAATCCTGTTAATAACCTGCAAGGATGTTTTGCCACTTTGTGTGAATCTGTGCTTCAGGAACCCAATAGCAGATGTGCGGTCCTTCAATGTTACATCCGCTTCATGTTACGTTCTTTCAGGTTACGTCCTGTGGCGACCCGGAAGTACCGGACAGGGTTACTTCCGGGTTTCACCGCTCGCGCATGCGCAGAAGTGCAAAATGACATCGTGCGCATGCGCAGAAGTGGTGAATCGCAACCCACGTGTGCCCAGACGCGCCGCTGCGGGTTGCGCTCTTTTCATGTTGCGAACAGGCCTCCGGAACGGATCCCGTTCGCAACCAGAGGTACCACTGTAATAATATATTTATACCCCACCCATCTGGCTGGGTTTCCCCAGTCACTCTGGGCGGCTTCCAACAAAAGATTAAAAATACATTAAAACATTAGTCATTAAAAACTTCCCTAAACACGGCTGCCTTCAGAAGTCTTACAAATGTCAGATAGTTGTTAATTTATTTGACATCTGATGGGAGGGCGTCCCACAGGGCAGGCGCCACTACCAAGAAGACCCTCTGCCTGGTTCCCTGTAGCTTCACTTCTTGCAATGAGGGAACCGCCAGAAGGCCCTCAGCGCTGGACCTCAGTGTCTGGGCTGAACGATGCGGGTGGAGACGCTCCCTCAGGTATACTAGGCCAAGGCCGTTTAAGGCTTTCAAGATCAGCACCACACTTTGGATTGTGCTCAGAAATAAACTGGGAAGAAGAGCTGCTGTCCAATTGCGCAAACTCAGTGGTAGGAATCCTCTGGGACACAGGCTGAGGGTACCTCTGTCTGGTCCCTAAGACTCCATCTGGTCACATTCTCTCTGACCTGAGCTGACCAAGTGTCTCTCCCCCCCCCCAATATAGGCAGATACCAGTTACAAAATGTTGTGAACCACCCTAAGATCTGTGGGTGAAGAGCAGTTTACAAATTTAATAAATAATAATAAAATAATAAAATATATAGTAATCTAGGGAATAGCAGACCCTCCTAAAAAGGGACGTGGGTGGCGCTGTGGTTTAAACCACTGAGCATCTTAGGCTTGCCGATGAGAAGGTTGGTGCTTCGGATCCCCACGATGGGGTGAACTCCCGTTACTCTGTCCCAGCTCCTGCCAACCTAGCAGTTCTAAAGCACACCAGTGCAAGTAGATAAATAGGTACCTCTGCGGTGGGAAGGTAAACGGCATTTCTGTGCTCTGGTTTCTGTCACAGTGTTCCATTGTGCCTGATGTGGTTTAGTCATGCTGGCCACATGACCCGGAAAGCTTTCTGTGGACAAACGCTAGCTGCCTCGGCCTGAAAGTGAAATGAGCGCCACAACCCCATAGTCGCCTTTGACTGGACTTAACCATTCAGGGGTCCTTTACCTTTTCTACCTTTTAGCAGACCCTTCAAGTGCCCCTGTTTTCCAGGGATGTCCCTGATTTAGAGAAGCCATCCAGGTTTCTGATCTGATCCCAGATTGTCCCGCTTTCTCTTAAGATGTTCCTATTTTCATTGGATAAATGTTGGAGGGTATGGAGTTATCTGCCCCCCCAAGCTATCTGAGGGTAATCCTGTATAGCGAAGGGTTTTTTTAAAAGTTTAATATTATGTTATCAAATATGTTGGAGGCTGTCCAGAGTAGCTGGGGCAAACCAGTTAGATGTGTAGTGTATAAATAGTAAAATTATAATTATGGAATGGGGCGTCCCTATTTTCATCGGAGTAAAGTTGGAGGGTATGGAATAGAAGTTGAAAGCTAAGCAGAAATGTGACGCCGGCTGCAAAGCAATCAAGTGTAAGGAAATCATGTGCATTGAGTGACGTATGGACCTTAGGATGCTCTTCATTAGTGACTGAGGGTTTGTGTGCCCCATATTTCACCAGGCAGGTGTAACAAATGTGCTCTTGATTTAGAATAAGGAGCTAACAACAACCCATGTTATCTACAATCCTGTCAAATAGAAAAGGCATAAGAAGATTAATCATATCACTATAATGCTATTGCTCATAAATATTGGTTGACATTCTTCACTTTGGATCACTTTGATCAAAACCCTAAGAACTCTTTCCAAATTAAAAAACAACAACAACATCACCTTGGTGTATGGCATGTTTAAAAGTTGCATTCCCTTTTAAATTATATTTAGGTGGATCGGTTCAAGTTGCCTACATAAATATGCTCAATTGTGATCAAGCTTTGTCAGAAGCAAAGAAGGAGGAGATTCTCTTATTAATGTGTCTGAGACCATCTTTTCTTTCTTTCTTTTTTTTTCTTTGCATGATCTTGCAGATTTCAACTCCACAAAGCGGTTCCCCCTCTCCTGTAAGTCTGCATTGCGTGGACAGGCAGAGTCCCCCAAACCCTGGGCGGCCCCCGTGTGGAATAACGACTCAAGACAATGTGCTATGGGATTAAAATTGGCCACAACTTTATTATGTTTCAGATGTGGGTAGACCTTGGCTCAGGCATTGGGCGTTTATCCCTCCCAGTCCCCCGCTGGGGATCTGGGGAACATCAGGGTTATCCAGTATGTGGGGGGATGGGCGGCTCTGGAGAACATATGTTCAGGCAGAGAGAGCCCGCCCCCGTTATGCCGCCGCCGCAGGGGAGAGCAATGACAACCTCTCAGCGTACGGCCAAAGCTTCCTCTCAAAACAACCTCTTTAATGGGGATCCCTGGTATCGCTGCCGCAAAGAGAAGGGGGACGTAAGTCACTGCTACACGCCCACCCCCAATTTAGGGAAGGTAGACTAAAGCATTCTGCCCAAAGCCTGATACTGCCAAAGTTGTGACGTTTTGCTATGGGAAAGGCAAACCTGCCAATGCAGGAGAATTCCTTTCCAGCCCTTCAACAGCGACCTTGACGTAGCAGCGCCCGCCTACCTGTGGAGAAGAGGTTAACCTGCAAAAGAAGTCTTAACTGAGGGTGGTTAGGGTGGGAGAAGCTCTTGAGCCAACTGACGATTCCCAGGTAAGATCCTCCCCGTATTGTGTGGGCAGGGTGGTCCCTCCCCCTACCTGGCCTAATCACCTTGGCAACGCTTCCCCAGGTGGGATTGGGCAACTGGCTGAGGTAGGCAGAGACCTCCAGGTATTCCACCTGGAGAAGGAGAAGCCAAGCCTGTGCTAATGGTGCCTCATAGGGTCCGGCGGCTGTGCACGACCACGCAAAGGGCGCCCCCCATTTAATGTGGGGAGCGGTCATTAGTGGCCTGGCCACAGGCCTGGTCAACGATATGGCAGCTGGCTGGGGAGTACTGCAGTTTTACTTTGTTGTCCTTTCCTTTATGTGGCCCAGGATTGGTTTGTTTTTATCATATGCTGATTTCTACTTCCAGGTACCTAAACGGTTGTCGCTGCAAAACCGATAGGTATATTTATCTGTAAATATCAGACTTCACATGTCATGGCTAGTGGCTTAAAAATACACTCACCATGTTCTTTCCCCCTAATTTATCACAAATTCATATCTAACATGCCCATTTCTAACTATAATTCATTTCAACAGAGCCTGACTCAGACACATGAAAGGAAATGAATACGGTACATACGCTTTAGCTCCATTGCAAGATCTCATGGGGATTTCATCAGCCTAGAAATAACAGAAGGGGGAAGGCATGACAAAAATCACTTAGGCCTGATTCACACCTTACACAGCAGATGTGTCAGCCACATCTACGTACATTGATGCCTCCCTATGGACACTGTAAAGGGTCATGAAGAGAAGATGCGGATACAGATAGCGCACTGGGGAGTTAGCTGTGGCATCCTCACTAGGGCTGTCTCATGTTTCACTTGGTCTCCAAAACAGGGAGGTGGGGAGTGTTATTGTTTTTGTATCCCACCCTTCAGCCCTATAGGGGTCAAGGGGGGCTAACAAAGAACAAAAAAAAATAATGAAAGCCACATAAAAGAACAGCTAAAACCCATTTCTGTGATGAGATACAACACAGTGGACAGTGGACTTTTGCATTATTTGGAGCTCCACCCCAGCTGTGTACACAAGGCTCAGTCAAACAAGTATGTATTATATTGTTGTCTGAAAGATAATAGTGGGGAGTGGGGAGCCTACAAAGTGTCCACCAGGAGCGAATTCCAGAACTGGTGTGCCACCACCAAGGAGGTCCCACAGGCCCACCAGCAGAACCTCTCTTGATGATCTCAAAGCCAAGGTTGGTAGATACTGAGGAAGGTGCTCCTTTAATTATTTGGGTCCCAAGTTATTCAGGGCTCTGTACATACATACATGCATACATACATAATTATATCAGTACGCCATCTTTCCACAGTTCAAAACATGCTCAAGGTGGCTTATGACATGAAAAAAATACATGTTGGGTATATTCCATAATGTCTCCTGCTCTGAGCTTGAGTCCGCATCACAATGCAGGCTTCGGAAGCCTGGCCTGCATTGTAATTCACTGCCTGGTGCAAAGCAGCCAATCATGTACTAGGTGGGTGTTGCCAGGGGTTGGCCAAAATGTATATAAATCAGACCCTTTCCCCTGTTTCCCCGGTTTGTTCCTGAGGCCTCAATAAAGCCTTTAAGCTGAATCGTTGCCTTGGGTCTTTCGTGAACCCACATCTACTTCAACTACAGTATAAGGAAAGCAGTCAAGCAATAAAGGAAACGTTAAAAAAATACACAACTAGAATCATAGAATCATAGAGTTGGAAGAGACCACAAGGGCCATCGAGTCCAACCCCCTGCCAAGCAGGAAACACCATCAGAGCACTCCTGACATACGGTTGTCAAGCCTCTGCTTAAAGACCTCCAAAGAAGGAGACTCCACCACACTCCTTGGCAGCAAATTCCACTGTCGAACAGCTCTTACTGTCAGGAAGTTCTTCCTAATGTTTAGGTGGAATCTTCTTTCTTGTAGTTTGGATCCATTGCTCCGTGTCCACTTCTCTGGAGCAGCAGAAAACAACCTTTCTCCCTCCTCTATGTGACATCCTTTTATATATTTGAACATGGCTATCATATCACCCCTTAACCTCCTCTTCTCCAGGCTAAACATGCCCAGCTCCCTTAGCCGTTCCTCATAAGGCATCGTTTCCAGGCCTTTGACCATTTTGGTTGCCCTCCTCTGGACACGTTCCAGTTTGTCAGTGTCCTTCTTGAACTGTGGTGCCCAGAACTGGACACAGTACTCCAGGTGAGGTCTGACCAGAGCAGAATACAGTGGCACTATTACTTCCCTTGATCTAGATGCTATACTCCTATTGATGCAGCCCAGAATTGCATTGGCTTTTTTTAGCTGCCGCGTCACACTGTTGGCTCATTTCAAGTTTGTGGTCAACCAAGACTCCTAGATCCTTTTCGCATGTACTGCTCTCAAGCCAGGTGTCACCCATCTTGTATTTGTGCCTCTCATTTTTTTTGCCCAAGTGCAATACTTTACATTTCTCCCTGTTAAAATTCATCTTGTTTGTTTTGGCCCAGTTCTCCAATCTGTCAAGGTCGTTTTGAAGTGTGAGCCTGTCCTCTGGCCACCCCTCCCAATTTGGTGTCATCTGCAAATTTGATCAGGATGCCCTTGAGTCCATCATCCAAGTCGTTGATAAAGATGTTGAATAAGACCGGGCCCAAGACAGAACCCTGTGGCACCCCACGAGTCACTCTTCTCCAGGATGAAGAGGAACCATTGATGAGCACCCTTTGGGTTCGGTCAGTCAGCCAGTTACAAATCCACTGAACAACTTCCACAAAGACCACAACGAGGTCTCAAAGAAAGGTATGTTCTTAATTATCTAATGAAGGAATGTTGTTGGATGCCTATAAGCCCTAGCAAGAATACGTAACAATCCTAGTTGAGGATGGGAGCTGCAGTCAGGCAGAGAAACAGGTTCCCCATCCCTGGTCTAATGCAAAGACTTACTTGGGTGTCACTAGAAGGTTGGTAAATGTAATATTCTATGACATGTGATGCTGTGTGTGGCATTTGCCCATTCATTTGAAAATGTCTGTACGGGGAGAGAGAAAGGGTTAAAATGTAGACCAGTAGGAAAGCTAGAGGCGGAGCCTACCTGTTTATAAAAGGGCTTAGCCCGAGGTTTGGGTGCAGGTAGTTGGTTGGTTTTAGTTGGTTGGTTGGGAAAAGGCAGCTGGAAAAGCAGTTGGCCGGCAGTTGGACATAGAGAGACAGTTAGTGCAGTTGGTTCTTGTGTGAGGGGAGGTAGAAGAGATAGAGACAGGATAAAAGAAGACTAAGAAGGTAAAGAGTAACAACTTTTGGAATGCAGTTAAAGTTTGTTTGTGTCTGCAGTAAACTACACTCTTCTTTGTTAACTTGAGAACCTGACCAAGACTAAGTGATTTACTGGGGAGAACCTGGTTGGTGGCAGCGGATTAGTGGTGTATGGGTCAATAGTCCGTGAGACGACCGGTGGCTCCATACAAATGCCACAACATGCTAGGTTGCCATCTGCGTGTTCAGACCCAGAAACCTCCCCCCTAAATAAATTCACACTTGACTCAAATTTTGGTTTTGGTTTTTGGCAGAATTTAGGCCACAACTTTATTGATTACAGAAAGTGACTGGTTGCATAGGCTCTGGTTCGAATAGCTCCCTGCCATGCAGGTAGCACTGACCCAGGGTTCCAGCATAGGTCGGCCAAGGGTGAACACCTGGATAAGTGGAAAGCCAGGAACAGGCTAACTCCACCACCCAAATGTCCCCCTGGACTCAGGCACGGGCACAACCCCTTCTCACATGTTGACCAAACCATCGAGTCCCTGGATTCCTTTAACAGAATACCCTTCACACAGGGATGGCGAGAGCGTTCTCCCATCCCTATCACCTGAACCAGAGCCTATCAGCAACCTTACAAGTTGTGACGCTTTGATACGCAGCAGGCGAAACCCAAATGGCAACAGCCAATCAGCCAAGTGTGGGAAATTCCTGCTGTGCCCCTGTCCCAACGACAGACAACACACGACAGCATAGCAAGGTCAAGCGCAAAACCCTAAACGTAGGGAGAGGTGGGCGGGTGTTCCAAATACATGCACCAAAAGAGGAAGCTCTGGGTCACGTGTATGGGTATGAATAGGTCCCTCAAACCGCTTAGACTGCGTCCCATTGGCCAGATTGCACCCAGCTACGAGGCACCTACCAATCGGGTGTTTTGGCTGACCAATCGTACCCACCCACAACACAGGGTGTCGGTTTCCAGGTCTCACCACAATACATGCCCTCTTTAAGGGAGGACCCGATTTATGCTTCAACTTTTAAGTTTGCTGGCTTTACATGTATGATGATGATCATGATCAAACTGTTCATTTTTACAGAATACATACACTTCATATGAGTTTTTATTGATCGATCGCCAGCCACCTTGAGCTGCTAGCCATTTGAACAAGCAAAGAAGGTTTTCCATCTGCAATCTGCTGGCCTGTTTGTGGGGTTGACTCCCAATGAGAGCTCTGCCCATAAGATGAATATGCTTATCTGAAATATGAATTAAGAGGACGTTGCAGATAAATGTGGTAGAAGTGTGAGCTTGGGGGTATTGAATTCCTTGCTGCACAGAGCTTAACCATAATGCAATATTAATGACAAGAAAACAAGGATAAAATCCCTGCTGCCACAGCCAGCGTGTTTTTTTTGCAAATTCTCCAAGGAAAGGTTGATTCGAGAAACACACAGAGATATTTTTAAAGCAACAGAGCCAATTATCTTTACTTCTCTCTCTCTCTCTCTTTCTCTCTCTCTCTCTCTCTCTCTCTCTCTCTCTCTCTCTCTCTCTGGGAGGGGCAGTTTATACCTCATAAAGGTGGAATTGGGATTCAAGATAACCTTAACAGGTTGGAGTACTAATAAAATGCATTTCAATGGAGACAATTCTAAGGTTCTGCACTTAAGAAGGAATAACCAGTTGCAGAAATATAGAGTGGGGAAGATCTGGCTTGACATCAGCACATGTGAAATATTTATTTATTTATTTATTTATTTATTTATTTATTTATTTATACCCCACCCATCTAGGTGGCTCCCAACAGAATATTAAAAACACTGTAAATCATCAAACATTAAAAACTTCCCTAAACAGGGCTGCCTTCAGATGTCTTCTAAAAGTCAGATAGTTGTTTATTTCCTTGACATCTGATGGGAGGGTGTTCCACAGGGCAGGCGCCACCACCGAGAAGGCCCTCTGCCTGGTTCCCTGTAACCTCACCTCTTGCAGTGAGGGAACCACCAGAAGGCCCTTGGAGCTTGACCTCAGTGTCCGGGCTGAATGATGGGGGTGGAGATGCTCCTTCAGGTATACTGGGCGGAGGCCGTTTAGGGCTTTAAAGGTGAGCACCAACACTTTGAATTGAGCTTGGAAACGTACTGTGAGCCAATGCAGTTCTCTCAGGATCTAGGGGCCTTAGTAGACCACAGATTTAACATGAGTCAACAGTGATGCAGGAGATAAAAAAGCCAATGCCATTCTAGGCTGTATAAACAGAAGTCTAGTGTCCAGATCAAGGGAAGGGAAACCACACCCGAGGTGTTGCATCCAATTCTGGCACTAGAGTTTAAGAAGGATATTGACAAGCTGGAATGTGTGCAGAAATGGGCAACCAAGACAATAAAAGGAATGGAAACCAAGCCTTATGAGCAATGGTTGAGGGAGTTATGTATACTTAGCATGGGAAAGAGTATAATGAGCAGGCAGTATAGTGAGCAGGCAGCCCCAGTCCTATTCGGAAGCAATTTTGCATTAGGATTCAGCCCTCAAACCTCAGTTCAATCCATGCTTGCGAACCCAAGCGCCGTTTTTGCATTATGCGAGCATACTTTCCATTGTAGTGTAGGGATTATCCAATTCAGAAACATCACGAAGCATCTATATGTTACAAAATGATGGAATTTATCTGAGGAGGATTCTGAAAAAAGTTATGCAGTTTTCTACAGCATGGCTAATACGCTTTTCTATGATCCCTCGGGTTGTAAACGCCATTGATATTCAGGCTTGTGCTGAATGTTTCTTACTAGCAACATTTGCTTTGTTTGTTTTTATACCATTGATCTAACTGCATGTCGGCAGAAGGAAATACACTTGTTTGGCTTTGCTTTCCCATAGTGGGGTATTAATATTACAGCAAGGAGATGGGTATTTCCATCATGTTAGAAACTTTTGAGTTAATAATGTATTATACGGTTGGGCTTATGTTCTATTTGATGCAAACAAGAGAAGGCAATGGGGAGAAGACGATCATTGCCATGTATACCATGTGATTTATTTATTTTTTAATAAATTTCATTTTTCATTTTTTTAAAGATATTTGAACAACAGTACAAATCCAATGTTACAATAAACATCAATAGTTTGACTTCCTCCCACCCCTTTTGTGGTTCCTTGTATTATTTTAATTTCTGTCATTGCATTTTCTTCATTATTCCAGTTATTAGTTAATCCTTGATTTCTCCTTGAATTTCATTTTAACTGTTTGGTTTAAGTTAACCCTGCTAACAAACTTATATGTGTACAATAACATTTCAAATAATCCACAATTTCCCCCCAGTCTGTGATGAAGTCTTTCTCCTCTTGGTTCCTTATAACTCCCGTACACGTTGCCATTTCAGCATAGTTCATTAATTTAATCTGCCACTCCTCCTTGGTTGGTACACAATCTTCTTTCCGTCTCTAAGCGCAAAGCATCCTGGCCGCTGTTGTAGCATACATAAACTATTGGTGTGTGTGTGTGTGTGTGTGTGTGTGTGTGTTGTTGTTGTTGTTGTTGTTGTTTTGTCTTTAGGAAACACTAAACCAATTATCCCTAAAACAAAAGCTTCTGATTTGAAAAAGAAATAAAACCAATTTTAAACATTTTCTTCAATTCATTATATATCATTTCCCAGAAAGCTTTTGCTATCTTACAGGACCACCGCATGTGGTCAAAAGTATCTCCTTTCTCTTTTCATTTCCAGCACCCATTCGACTTTGATTTATACATTTTTGTTAACTGCATATATGTGATCTTTGATATACAGTACATATTGGAAGTGAAAGGGGGGGAGGACATGCAGCAGATAATGGAAACCCAACTTGGTGAACATTATTTTTTAAAGGGGATATATTTTAATTAATTAAGGGGTTTGAGAGATATTTTCTCCTCCCCTGCTGCTGCTATTGTCATCCCAATTTCAGAGGAGCCTTGCTTTCAGCTGAGTTTTCAGAGTTTAGAGTTAGCTTCTGCAAAATCCAAGTTCTGCAATAGCCAACCTTGATTCCACATCACAGCTTGTCATTGTGCTGCTTGCTCAAATGAATCCAACGGACCATGAAAGTGTGTTCTGTGCCTTCTCATCCGGAGATGGCATAAACCATATGCTCCTACTATGAAAAGCTGTCATTAGGCATTTTATTGCTACCTATGGTCTTTAGGGTCTGTTGTTATTCTTTTAAGTTTAAATTATGATCAGATGGGATGGGGAAGGAGGGAGATGAAAATAAAAATGACCTGTCAAAAATTAGCTCTGGAATGATCGGAATCTAGTCATGAAACATGTTTTTTTGACCCTAGCAACTGTTTGACTATTTGTTTGGTGTGTGTCCCCAACACAATGTTTACTTCTAACGGAAAGCACCTGCAAACTTTTAGCATTGATTGAACCACTATTTGTTAGAAATCTTTACAGAGCGTAAGAGGTTTGCCTTGAGAGACTAAACATTATTGCAACAGATTCAGTGGTAATGAGGCATTAGAGCAATTGTTCCCAGTTACATTACGATGAGAAACCAGGAATTTTTGTTTTCTTACAGGGCGTATCTGCTGAGCAATAGCCAGAGCGGTAGAGCTGGATAAGAGGCACCCGCTTTCAAATTTCAAGTTCAGTGAAGCTCACTAGGTGGTCATGCCCAAGTCACCACTTCTTAGCCTAGTTCAGGGGTAGCTAATGTAGTTTTAACCAGATGTTGCTGGACTACAGCTCCATTCATCCTTGGCCAGACAGAAGTTGTAGTCAAAGAGCATCCAAAGGACATCATGTTGGCTATCCCAAGCTAGACAGTCTCACAGATAGGTTATTAAAAAGGCCAACCAGCAAAACAACTATAGTATGTTTTGTGCTTTTGTCCCAGTGTGGGCTGCCAGTATCTCCTTATATACCAATAGTTGTTGTTGTTGTTTAGTCGTTTAGTCATGTCCGACTCTTCGTGACCCCATGGACCAGAGCATGCCAGGCACTCCTGTCTTCCACTGCCTCCCACAGTTTGGTCAAACTCATGCTGGTAGCTTCGAGAACAATGTCCAACCGTCTCGTCCTCTGTCGTCCTCTTCTCCTTGTGCCCTCCATCTTTCCCAACATCAGGGTCTTTTCCAGGGAGTCTTCTCTTCTCATGAGGTGGCCAATGTATTGGAGTCTCAGCTTCAGGATCTGTTCTTCTAGTGAGCACTCAGGGCTGATTTCCTAAGAATGGATAGGTTTGATCTTCTTGCAGTCCATGGGACTCTCAAGAGTCTCCTCCAGCACCAGAATTCGAAA